AAAAGAGTGTTATTGAAAGTGAGCTAATACAATAAAAAGGAATTAACTATTGATACATGCAACAGCGTAGGTGAATCTCCAAATAGTTATGCTGAGTGAAAGAAGGTAGACACAAAATACTACCTACAGTATGGTTCCATTTATATGAAAGTCTAGAAAATGCAAACTTATCTGTTGTGTCAGAAAGCAAATCAATCAGTGGTTGCCTGGGGATGAGGAGGTCGAGGGAGAGTGAAAGAGGATGCCAAGGCCACAGGAGTGATGAGTATGTTCACTCTAGGTTGTGGTGATGCTTTCGGGAGTGTATGCGTATGTTAATACTTTGCAGGTTGTGCACTTTAAATGTGTGCAAATTATTGTGTGTCAGTGACATCTCAATAAAGCTGTTTTAAAAAGTAAAATAATACAAAAGAAAAAATGAGGTCAGGAAATAGTGCATTGAATTAAATCAGTAAAAGAGAATTCAAAAACAAAAGACCTTGCTGTTATCTTTTAAGTCAGCCACCTGGAAGCAGCTTTGTTGTAAGTAATTACTTCTTCAGGTCCCCCCTCAGGGGCTCAGAGCACGCAGAGAGGAGTCGGGGTGCAGTAGAGGTGATCCAGCTGGAAATCAGCTCTAGGGAAAAGCCAGGCTGGACAATGCTAAGATTATTTAACCTCTGGGTTTTATTTATATCTCTGAAAGTTATGATCCAGAATTCTTTACTTTTTTTTGTATAATCACTGGATTTTTTAAGATCTGAGGGCTTAGATTACAGAAGTTCTTTAAATTGATTTGCATCTAAACATGTCTATTTTGAAAGGTTTTTAAAATTTTAGTTCTTCAAAATTGAATTTCTGCATTTTAAATTACTTTATCTTTGACAGATACAGGATATGTCAAATTTTAGCTTATTATCTTTGGCTCTAATTTATATTTTTGTTTAAAATTGTATGAGGTCCCTGTTTAATGAAAAAGATGATGGAAAAAAGTATCGTAATGTATGTCAAAATTCAGGAAAAGTAGTTGGTCATGATGCTGACAGTAACTCTTGAAACTTTTTGTGTCTCGTGAGTTAAATTAGGACTCCTATGAAATAGTGACTAAATGGTGTTAATGACACGTGATGTGGATTAGTGATCTTTTTGAAATGAGTTGGTGATTACAGATTTTTTTCTCACAGTTGAAATCTTTGACCAAAATTATCAGTAGCGGGAAAACGTGTAGTTGTCATTTTTCTTCCACACCAATATAATGTGATTAGATTATGCTTTTGTTAGACATGCTTTGGAAAAGAATTGAATTATGGCTATCAAACTGATACTTAAAATACTATCAGTTTCTGTTTTTTTGAGGGGGGGTATTTAAAGTTTACGGCTTACAGTAAATTTATTTTTTTAAATCACACTATTTAATTACTTTAAAAAAAATCTTGGTTTGACGTGCTTCCAATGTTTAGGCAGTCATACTGAGTTTAGATGGGTTATATCTATTCTTAACATGTGAAATTTCTTTATTAATTATAATGTACACTAACTTAAATTTTGGCAATTTTTTTTTTTCCAGTGGTTCAACTTGAATTCTCTCTTGACGGGTCCAGAATTAATATCAGACACATACCTTGCACTTTTCTTGGCTCAATTACAACAGGAAGGTAAATAAAGATGGAAAATTTTATAATGTTGTCTTTCAAAGTAGCTAAAGAAAACTAGCTCATTAGATGTGAGTGTAACAATACTGTTTTTATGGCAGTGGCAGTGAAATAATCTTTGTTTTACATGTTGAACTTGAGGTTATGATTTGACTGATACTGTTCAGAGTTCTCACTGACACTTGGCCCTCCCCCAAGGATGCTGCTTCCTTTGCAGCTCCTCTAAGTAATGGCTCTTTTTTCTTCCACACCCCACATGCCACAGGGCCGGGGGGAAGACCAGGTATTCTTGCTCCTCTTTGCCTCTTCTAAGCCACTGTTCTTCCCTAAAAGCTTCACCTCCTTTGAAATACACCCCACTAGTTTGAACTCTACCCTCTGCTCTTTTGCAGTTATCTGTGATCCTCCCCCTTTCCATTGAAGATTTTAGGATCTGACTCACTGTCTTCTTTCTGCTTCAACTCCTTTCAGCATTCTTAGTGATTTCTATATCAAAAATCAATTCAATCCAATACTTCTTACTTTCAAAGATCATTTTTTTCACTCTTGCCTTGTTCCCAATAATTTTGCCACCTGCAACTGCAATCATCATATTCTTTGACTATCGTTTCCTATCTTTGTACCACATTTTCTCTCTTTTTTTTTCCATTCAGACAATTATTTAAACCCTACCACAAGGCCCAAACACTCCCCTTACAGTCATCCTTCCTTCCTTCCCCTACTTATTTTCTATAATCCATCATAATCACTCCATTCAACTTCTTTCTTCTTCTCTCCCTCCATCATAATTTCATGATAAAATTCCAAACCTAGTTAAAGCCAATCTTGATCTTGTCCATTCTTATACCAGAGCAGCTGAACATGACTAAAGAAAACATAAAATGTGATGATTGATTTTGCTTTAAATTTATGATTACAAATTTCAAATGAGCCTTTAGTGCTACTTGCCATTCCTACTGTGATTTTTCAGTAAGTTCACTTACTCTCTATGATGGTTATTTCACAGCTCGTCTATTCAAACTTCTAACCACTCCCTTCTCCCTCCCTGACTCCTAGCTTATGGCCTTCCTTTATATTCTACTGAGGAAACAGAAGCAATTGAAAGGGAACTTTCTCATCTTTCTACCAGAAAATCTGTCCACTTGCCTATATCTCTGTGTGGGCTTTGAGTCTATTAAGATGGATGAATCGTCCCCTCCTCCTAACCAAGACCAACCTCTCCACAGTGGGGCCGCTTCCCAGCTCCTCCCACCTACTCAAGATCTTTGCTCCTGCTTTTGTCTCTCCACTCCTGCATGATCAGTTTCCCCCCTCTCTCCTGTGTTATTCCCTCGAGCAGAGAAATAAGCTCTTTATCTCCATTGATCAAAAAGGAAAAGCTTCTCTATCCAGGAAACTCCAGCTGCCTCCCATTTTTATTTTCTCCTTAGAATTATCTCCGGTGTGTTATCCCCTATTCATGAACTCATGAATAGTTTACACTGTCACAACATGTCACTGAAAAACCCTCTTCTCAGTGTCGCCAATGACCTCTGCACTTGCCAATGCCAGTATTCAATTCTCAGTTTTTCATTTGACCTCATCTTATTTAAGAGTATAGTTGATTATACCCTCCTTTAAACAGTACAAAATAAAACTTATTGAACATTTCAAACGAATATAAAGTATAGAAAATAAGATAATGAACCCTCATGTATCCTGCACCCAGCTTCAATATCTCATGACCAATCTTGTTTTATCTTTATCCTACCCACATCTCCTGTTTATTTTGAGCAAATACTAGACATCTTATCATTTTCTCTGTAAACTTTTTAAATTAAAAATTTTAAAAGCAAGGATTCTTTAAAAAATACTATACTATAATCACACCTAAAAAAGTTAATGACTACTTTCATAATATCAAATAGTCAGTATTCAGATCCCCACTCTTCTTGGTTGTCTCTTTATGTTTTTCACATTTTAATCCAGGTTGAAATAAAATTTGTTGATTGAATTTGGATTGGAATATCTCTTAAAAATAGCAGTAGGTTTCATCTCGTCTATATTTTTTCTTTGATTTACTTTTTAGAAGAAAATGGGTCATTTGTTCTGTTTCCCACCTTCTAGATCTTGCCGATTACCTCCCTGTGTTTCTCTCTCAGTCCTGGATTCCCAGTAGCCTAGTCTTTAGATCAAGAGGCTTGATCAGATTCAGGTTGATTTGAGGGGACAGAAGACTCTTTCTTTACAAGTGGTGTGGCACTTGATGTCTGGTTGTCTCTCTTTTTGTGATCTGAGTAGCTGTGGAACATCAATGCCTAGTACATTATTTTATTTAGGATTGCAAAATGGTGATATTGGATTCTCATTATTCCTTCATTTATTAGCTGAAAGACTTCTATAAAAATAAATTTTCCCATATCAATTATTTGATTATCCTGAAGTATAGTCATATAGTCAAAGCAGGATAAATATTTCTTTACTTCTGCCAGTTTTTTAAATGAATTCGTTTCATAGCGTCTTTCTTCCAAAGGCAACCAATTAGTTGTTTGTTATTTTTTCTGTAGTGTCATTCTAAACTAATCCATTAAAACATAGTTCATGTGTTTCAGTCCATTATAACATTGGTGTTGATACCCTAATTGTCCCGTCTTGGACCAGTGGGAAACTTTCGAACTTGACTCCCAAATTCAAAATGACCAATGTAGCTTTTTAAAGCCTTTCTTTCTCATATAACCAGAATTTTCAGGCTTATCATATATATATTTCCTGCCCTTTTAGTAATGGCCTTTAGAGATCACAGTCTGGGCACTGGTATGCTTATCGCTAATGGGCTGGTCATCATGTAGTTCTTTCCAGTTGACATATAAGATTATAGTATTGTAATTTCTTTGATTTTATATACTTCCATCTCTTTTATCCCTAAAACCTTGATTCCTAACTATATCTTCCCTTCTTGAAATACCATCTACACTTGGCTTCCAGTCCACAATTCTCTTATTTTCCTCATATTTCGTTGGCTGCTTCATTCAGCTTCCTTTTGTGGATCTCCCTCTTTCCAATCTCTAACTATTGAAGTGACCCAGAGTTCAGTCCTTGGACAGCTTCTTGACTATGTGCTGTCTCATTATTTTAAAATCTCTAAATAAGATCTATATGCCAATAATTCCCAAACTTTCATCTTCTGCCTAGATATCTACCTTGAACACCAAACTCGTAACTTTGACATCTCCACTTGGAAGTCCAGAAAATATTTCAAACTGAACATTTTGAAAGAATATAAAAGACTACAATTTTTTTTTTCCTTCCCTTCCGTGCTATCCCTCAGGTTTTCCATTTCAGTAAGGATCACTCTTCTTGCACTCTGGTTCTCATTTATCATATTGATAAGCCCAGAGTGCTTTTTAAAAAATATAATGCAGTTTATGGCACACCCTCACCCTTCACTGGCATCCCAGGATACTTAGGGTGAAATCTAGTCTTTAATAAAACCTGAGATCATTACAGTATCACCTGAATAAGACAGAGTTTCTGCTATTCGTGATGCTCTTCATGGGATGCCGTGGTGAGCTGACGTTTATTCTAGGATCTAAAAACGACTTACTGGCTCAACACATGTTAAACCATCTGAACTCCGAACACACTTGTCCTTGTAAAACCAAAAAACTTAAGTTTATTAACTCGTTACTTATTATTACTGTTTTGAGTTTTTTCACTAATACTCCTTTCGATCCTTGTTTGTTTCATTGTCTGTTTTTATTTTTTATTATTTATTGCATTATCTGTCAGCACTCACAAGGATATCCAGTAATAAATGCCAAAGTTTAAGAAAATTTTATGGTAGAAAAATGTAAATTGATTAGAATGACTTTGATGTAGCCCACCGTTATTCAGTTTTTGTGTGGAGTAACCAGCTGGGGAAACCCTGGCTTTCTAGAATCATATTTATAAAAATTACACAGAATCACTGTATTTCTTTTAAAAGATAAGGTACACTTTTAATACCTTGACTAGATGTTGGGTATTGGCTTCTCAGACCAGCCTTGTTTCAGTTGGAGGGTGGAGCTCAGGGTGAGGGGGGCATCTATTTTTCCAGATGACTCATTTTACCCATATTACACGTTATTATATACATTATCTGATTGTGTCCTCACAACAGCCCCATGAGGGAAGGTATCGTTTGTTTAACAACTGAAGAAATCAATACATAGATGGGTAACGTGCTTTACCAGTGACCATGCAGCTAGGAAAAGGAGGAGCCGGGATTAAAACACAAACTGCAATTCCAGATCCCTTGATCTTACCCACTCCTTTTCCTGCCTGTCACCATTTAGTGAGCATCCCACGTGGTCAGGCACTGTTTTAGGAGGGCCCATTACAGACACTCTTAATTTCTCCTCGTCTCTCTATGAGATGGTCCCACTTCGTAAGTGAAGAGAGTCAGACTCAAAGACTTAAAAGTAATTTGTCATAGATCACCCTGCCAGTAAGGATACAAATCATTATATGAACTCAGGTCTTTCTGACTCCTCAGTTTGTATTCTTTTCATTACTGGATTCCGTGCTGCCTCTCTGTCCGCTATCATTTTTAATCAATTATGAATCTCTTACTAGCTGTTTTAGTTTATTTTTGCCTTTTTTTTAGGTTATTCTATATTTGTTGTTAAGGGTGAGCTGCCAGACTGTGAAGCTGACCAACTCCTGCAGATGATCAGGGTCCAGCAGATGCATCGACCAAAACTTATTGGGGAAGAATTAGCACAACTAAAAGAACAGAGGTAAAATTATGCCTGCAGTATAGAATATATTTCATTACAAGAATTTAATTTTCTTGCTAATATTGAATGTGTGATCCCTTTATTGTTGATGATTTTTTTTTAGACCTTTATATTTTAGTGAAGTTTGTTGGTTCAAACTCGAATCAATCATTTGGATTACTTCAATATATTAACTTAGAGTCACATCACAATACAATCTTAATATTATTAGACTTTATCTGCAAGAAAATGTATAAGTTTTGACTTATGTAAAATCTTTGGTTTATAAATATCTTTATATCAAAAATATAAGACTGGTCTGCAGTTATTATCAGTGCTTTCATTCTTCAGAGTCCAGAAAACCGATCTGGAGCGAGTCTTAGAGGGAAATGATGGGTCAGGAATGTTAGACGAAGATGAGGAGGATTTGCAGCGTGCTCTGGCACTAAGTCGCCAACAAATTGACATGGAAGATGAAGAAGCAGATCTCCGCAGGGCTATTCAGCTCAGTATGCAAGGTATAGACATTCTGACATGGTTTTTTTCATTGTTGAAGAATTGAGTCAGATAATTCTTGGTTCCTCTGGTGGTAATGAACTGTTCTTTGATGGTAACTGCAGAAGCAATAGCTATGTGCAGTCAGCTCTTTTTTTTAGTTTTCTTGAAATATAAATAACTTTTTACAACCTATGTTATATTAGGACTAGTTATATTTTTATTTCTGGTTATTCGTATGGTTTTAATACTGCACTAGTGCAGCAATAAACTGAAGTTAACCTTTGTGAGCAGAAGTGGTGGGGGGAGCTTATTCAGACCAGCTGTTGCACAAGTGTATGCTATTGGACACAAAGGGAGGCCTGGACAAAGACTGTAAATTGATTTTACAAAAATCTAATGTAAGTGGCTGTGCAGCTTACAGCTTAAGCCCGCTGATGGGCTGCTGTCATTGTGATATAAGCCCATCAGAAGGGGAGAGTGAGACATACCCCATAGGGGACCCGGGTGCAGGGCAGTGTTTGGGATATAGCTCAGAGTGGCTTCCATAAAAGTGTAAGGCGTTTCTTTTGTAGTTTTGTTTTTATCCAATTTATGTGATTTTGCCTTCTATTTCCTAATAAAATTATTCACTGAATTCCTTAAATATCAAAATAAAGTTGAGGTTTCATTAATAACAAGATTATGCTTTTTACCTTCTGTTTTATCCTGAATGTCCCATTCCTCTGAGTTCTCCATATGGCGTGCAGTCCAATTGTCAATTAGTAGACCCCTGCTGGATCAGCCCAATAATGGACAAACACCAGCTTTTATGATTTTAAATATTTTTGTGTGATTCGCTCTTCTTACCACTTCATTTCACAATTTGTGCAGAACCTCTGGTTGGTGCAATTATCAAGTGAGACCATGGAAGCACACTTAAGTTGTTGTAGGACCCAAGTGTTTGAGGATAGAACACAGAGATGGGTCGTTTTACGATCACGTGCTTTAAGTTGCTTCTAATGAGTTAGAGCACACGAGAGCGCTGTTAGTGGCTCTTCTACCCAGTTGGTGCTGGGCGTAAATCCTCACATCTGATAACCGCAGTGGGTCACAGCTTGGTTCTAGTGGACCCAGGTTACATTTGAACTGCCTTATTCAGATTTTCCCTGAGGTTTTCAGAGCTTTTCTTACATTTACAGAATAGTAGCAGAATGTTTTTAAAAAGAAAACTTTTTAAAAGCTTGTTCACATAAGTATAAACATATGTTGCTTTAACCGGTAAATAAAATGATTGTTTTTGTTGTGTTTTCTTTTGTTTTCAGGTAGTTCCAGAAATATATCTCAAGATATTCCACAGACATCAGGTACACATCTTACTTCAGAAGAGCTACGGAAGAGAAGGGAAGCCTACTTTGAAAAGTAAAGTAGTTGGTACAAAATTAAAATTGCATATTCAATATTTACTTTGGCTATTTTGTCTATTTGTGAACTTACAGCTTTGGATTAAACTATTCTCTCTCTCTTTTTTTTTTTTTTAAAAGACTGGTTACTGCCTAATCCTTTGAACATTGGAATGTTTTTGTTTTTGTTTTTGTTTTTTTGAAATTTACAGATAAACAAAATGTAGTTTTAGGAAAACTTTGTCCCACCGCTAATTAAATTTACATGAAACAGGATGAAGGAAATGCTGTAAAATTTCAGTCAAAATCAAAAGGAAAATAGAAAAATGGAATTGGGTCAAGGCAAGAACAGTTTAGTGATCTTTTGAATGCGCTTATAGGTTACCTAATCCTATGAAGTTCTTCTGTCAGTAGGAAAAACAGCATTTTTTGGTAGGGAAGCACACTTACAAATACAGGTGGTGGTTAATTGCTCTGTTTATTGCCACGTTAGGGGGTACTACAGGCCTGTCAGCATTAGAGGTATAAGGCTAGACCATAAATCTGAGTCATCAGCTCCTAAAACCTAACTTTGTGCCCAGTTTTAAAAGTGATCTCAAAATAGAAATCTCAGCCCATAAAATGCCATCCTTTCCAGTGACTATTATTCACAAGTCTTCCCCCCTTTCTCTTTTTTTAATGCTAAAAATTCACCTTAAAGATTATAAGATCTGTAATAGGTATTCAGATCTCAAGATCACAAACTAAAAGGCCAGTGCCTGAATCTGGCCCATAATTTACTGTATTTCATCAGTTCTGAGATGCACATATTCTCACATTTCAACATCTCTTCAACTGAGAAGCAATTTACAGTCATAATTGGCAGCATTTTAGCAATATTTAAAATATTGGAGCAGTGTACATTTGATGGTATAATGAAGATAATATTTACCTTGTTTTCTGTTTTTTCCCTTAAGTCACAACTCAGAAGTATATGAAGGAAAGTTCTGATCATCTGACATCTTAATGTGAGATATTTCTAGTCTTTATTCAGTGATAGATTAATGGGTTTAATTATATATAAAATTTCAAAATAGTGCTTATTAGTGCTTTTCACTTCCTTTAAATTTTTAAAATTAACTTATTTTTTAATTGTGATAAATTTCAAATTTTTACGAGAGTAGAGAAACCAGCATAGCGAACCCCTGTTTACATATTGCCCAGATGTAACAGACATTAGCACATGGCCAGTCTTGTTTTTTATGCCCCCATCTCCCATGCTCTTCACTCCTCCATGCCCCACTGGGTTTATTTTATAATATATCTAAATCAGTATATCATTTCATCCATATTTATGTCAGTATGTGTCTCTAAGATATAAGGGCTTTTTTTTTTTAACATAGCCAAATGCTATTGTTACATAATAATGTTAATTATCATGTGATAATTATTATTGCTAATTCTGTAATATCGAATAGTGTTAAAAATGAAACTACTTGATTAGATAAAAACTAATATCCTAGAAAATTTGTTTTAAGACATATCAAAATTAAAGGATTTTACTGTCCTTTAGTAACTGATGTTAGTATTTTGACTACCTATTCACAAAGACACAAGTGTATATTAGCTGTACCCATTTTCCTATGATAGTAAGTATTCTTTGTAAATAGGCTACCTGATATTTCATAAAATGAATGTGTGCTTCATAATTTATGTCTGAATGTTTTGATCTTTGCTATTATAATTAATAGTACAAGAAATCCTTGTATCGACGCTATGCTTCAAACTTCTCATCATTTCTTCTAATTATTCCGAGGATATCAAATTATTGGGTTAAAAGACATGAACATTTTTAAGCCCTTGGTACAGATTTCTAAACTACATTCGGAACAATTCCCAAGTGATGCTTCTACCATGTTTTTTTCAGACCTTGTTTCTTTACAGAGAAACTAAAAATGCACAAATATATCTAAGAAAAGGAAAACATCTTTAAACTTTTTATAGTAAAAAGAATAATGCAGTAACATTGCGTAATGACTAAGTTATAATAAGCACAGTGCCAGTGATAACTAATGCAGATGTTTAAGTCAACTTTGCACTCTTCTAAAATGTTTGTGCATCGGTTTGGCTCCTTCCCGGTTGGAGGGTAGTTGAATGGGGAAGAAGGTACTCAAGTGACGGTTTCCAGCTTCAACTTTTCATCCTCTGTCTTCTGGTTTGACCTTAAAAATATGGTGGGAACTTAAGAACTAGAGAATATTAAAGAGTTATGTGTTGCTGAGAAGAGTTAAGAGCTGACTTGGTGTTTCTTTTTAACATTGGCTAGCATTCAAAATCTTGTAGGCCTCAATAAAGGGGCTGAGAAACTAATATTTGCCTTTCATTAGAATTCCTGATTACTTAGCCTAGATGGGTCCTTGTCTCTCTAGCTTCCACATTTGGCAACTTGGCTCTGACATTACCAAGCTAACTCTGCTTCTGGCCCTCTCCAGACTGACCCTGCTGCTAACTTGTCACTCATTCAAATTGATAGGGTATTTTTTTTCCTGTAGAGTATTTGAAGCATCATATTTACTGTAGTCACCACAGTATTCATGCATAAAGCAGAAAAATACTGTTAAAAATCTACCTGTTACAGATTCATAGGTTGTGAGTAAAAGTTGTTAAATATTTTCATAGCCATGATTTTTTTTTTCCCAGTAGTAGTGTCTAAATCCATTTTACCTGTCATAAAACCTCAGGCAAAACCATGCTCTATCAGCTATGTTGCTGTAAAACCTGCCTTTAGTCACATGTTATGAGCATCAAAAGAGTGTGTCAAACTATTTTGTAAACTGTAAAGTGTGCCGCAGATATATGTTTAGCAGCATTAATGTCTTCTCCAGGTGTAACTCTGAAATGATGCAGATTCTTTTTTTCTGTCACAAAAAGTGTATCCCATCAAGGAGAGAAACAAACGCTGTTTTCATGGTCATGGATTGCTATGATTCTTTCTTTCTTATTTATCTATCTGTCTATCTATCTATCTATTTATTTATTTAATTTATTTATTTATTTGCTATGATTTTTTTGATTGCCTAATACTTGAGCCATCACCTCAGTGGCATGACATAGTTTATCAGGTTAAGAAACAAATTATTAGAGGTCTTTTAATCAGTAAAGTATTTAATATGGAAATTAAGGCCTTACACAATCTTAGAAGAGGCTGTAATAGGCCAGGCCTCTAGAATCCCAGCTTGTTTGAAGAGCTGTGACCACCGCCCCAGTTGAGATGATTGGGAATGAGGATATCAAGTTTAAGAACACAGTGCTATATAGCTGCGATCCCAGGATCTGGAAGCTGCCACCACCGTTGACTAGACATGAAGAAATGGGACAATGAAGTCATGAGGCGGAATTCGGGGACTGACACCTCCATGGCTTTACTTGCTAGCAGAGAACAATGAAAGCAGCAGCACGGTGGCTGTGCCTCGTTTCTGCCTTTTAAATCTCATGAGAGTGCTTAATTGGTTGCCAGAATCCTAGCTATAAAACAATTTAAGACATGTGGTTTTTAGCTTTCCGGCCTCTGTGACTCTGAAGGCACAGTAGAGGGCACAGTGGGAATGGATGCTGAGTGCTCTTCGAACGTGTTCTATCTTATAGTGTCATCACATTTGAAAGATGTCAAAATGGATTCAAGATTGGCAATTCATTTCTCGCTTTTCATGAATTTAAGGTAGAGTAAAAGTTACCTCTCTGAAGTCACTGTCTCATCTATCACTCACTCCCATGCATTCTGAGGTTTTCTTGACTGGAAGGGGAAGAGGCATGGAGAGATATCCAATGCGCCATAACTCCCAGCCTGTCTTTCTCGTGCCGCATTCCAGAATTGGGGTATGCTAGTGGGAGCATACTGCCCACGTGTACATTAACCGTGCACAGCAGAGAATCATAAACCTGTGTGAACGTCGGTATGCTGGCTCAAAGGCCAGCGGGAGAAAGTGCGATTTCCCACTGGTTGCATTTTTTTCATTGTTGCTCATATTTAGAACACAAGATTAAGAGAGACCCCAGGAAAAAATATGCTATTCTATTAACAGTTTTCCTGGTAATTTTAAAATTCTAGTTTCTTTAAAAATCCTTTTATGCATTTTTCGAAAGCTATGGTTTCTCACTCAGATTGGGAGCTGTTTTTAACTTTTTAATTTTCAGCATATATATGTATATGTGAAATCATTTTAATTTACACAAATGCAGAAATAGTTCTCAGAGCTCCTGTGATACTTCACGCAGTTCCCCAATTGTCGACATTTCTAAACCATTAGAGAATCACTTGCAGACATGAGTTCTCATTAACTCTCAATACTTCAGTGTATATTTTCTAAGTACAAGGACACTCTCCTACACATCGTATCATAACCATCATGTTTAAATGTTTTAAAATATGGTTATTTATGACATCGTTTTTCCAGTTTAAAAAAACATGGAGAGAATGTATTTTAATGCAATAGGTATTACTGATACTTGATAATGCATGTTAAGTAGTTTTCATTTCTTTCATTCACAAAATATTTGGTGAATGCCTACTGTGTATATGACAGGCAGTTTTATGCACCGGGGGGAACGAAGATAAGGTGTGTACTCTTGTTAGCTTATACTCTAAAGAGGGACACAGAAGATACCAGATGGTGATAAGTTTATGCTGAAAATTAAGACAAAGTGATGAGATAGTGACAATGCCAGGGGACTGCTTTAGGATGGACAGGAAAGGTATCTCTGAGGAGATATTTAAGCTCAGATCCGAATGACAGGAAGGAGCCAGCCATGGAAAGATTGTGTTAACTCACTTGGTTGTTTCAGATGCTTTATCTCCTTAAAGGTGCTTATTTTCAGTGACTTCTCACAATATTAAGGATCTGTAAACCAACACATTTGCACAGAAATAGCTACCAGTGAATCCTTTTATACGATGTATTAATTTGTGGTGAAAATACCTGCTTGTTAATTTCCTTGATAAATTCAAATTTTGTATCTAGGTTTCCTAGGATCAGAAGTGGGATACTTTTAACTAATATATATCAGATGGATTGCTCTTGCATTCTTTTCTGGTGTTCATGCCAGTGATTCTTTTGTTTTGTGGAACCATTCATTATCCACATGAATAGTATTTCTCATAGCATGTTTATTCTTAGAGGTTTTGTTTTTTTAATGTACATTCTCTTTTTCTGTTTCAGGCAGCAGCAGCAGCAGCAGCAGCAGCAGCAGCAGGAGGAGGATCCACCAGGACAGCTGTCACACCCATGTGAAAGGCCGACCACTAGTTCAGGAGCACTTGACGGTGACCTAGGTACGCCTCTGACCATTATCACAGTTGTTATCTGCACACTTTGTTTGACATATAGGCTCTGCGATTTCGGCTTTAATAGGTATCGAAACTCTTGAACGAATTTGTAATCTACTAAATTTCTTTGGATTAAGGAGTAGGCAGACTAGAGCACTCAATTAATGTTTCGTTTTAATATTATAAATAATACTTGCAACTTCACAGTAATACATTCTATAAAAGTTCCTCAGGGATCATGAATATTAGTAGGTGGAAAATAAATACATTTTACCACCTGGAAAACTAAAAACACATGAGTGTAGTCTAAATATCAAAAGGAAGTCCAGAGTTCACATCAGGCCTTGGTTTAATAAGTCTTAAACTTTGACCAATTATTGGTGTTAGAAGTTGAGTGAAAAAGAAATTGTATGTGACAAAGGACTTCTAAGCAGAATATGTAAAGATTTGTCAAAACTGAAATAAGAAAACAACTCAAAAAAATGGACAAAGGATTTGAATAGACACTTCACCAAATAAAATATGATAGATGACAAGTAAAATGACAAATAAATGATGTTCACCATCACTATTCATTAGGATCACTACTCATTAGCTAAATGCAAATTAAAACTACAGTGAGATTACACATCTGTGAAAATGGCTTAAGAAGAAAATAAAATTGATAATATCAAATGCTGGCAACGATCAGAGCAACTGAGACTCTCATATGTTATTAGGGAAAATATAGAAGGGCTCAGCACCTCGGAAAACAGGCTAGTATTTGCTTATAAACTTGATGTATGCTGAACCATGTGATCCAGTAGGTCCACTCTTAGATATGTAACCAAGAGGAAAGAAAAGTGAGGGTCACACAAAAGCTTGTGTGTGTATGTTTATAACAGTTTTATTCATAATTACCCTAAACTGGAAACTGCCTAACTATTGTCCTTCAATTAGTGAATCGATGCACCAACTGTGGTGCATCCAAATAGTGGACCGTGTTAGCAATAAAAAGGAGCGAACTGGTATGTTTTCCTACTCTTGCTAAGTACAGCTAACAACCTTGGATATCTATATAAAACAAACATAAGAATCTGAAAGCTTCAGAGGAGAGAGACTGGCTAGGAAGCTCAAGACCAGAAAAATGACATAATGGTGAGTCGCCTGGGATTTCCTTTTACCTCATCTGTTGAGAAGCCACAGGGGCACACCAAGAAAAAAGCTCCAAAGAATAGTTGCTTTATGTAGTCAGAAGGGACCATCTAGCAAGACAAAAACTTTTAGATAAAACTAGTCCAGCCAAACTGGACTAGGTAAATAAACTGACCCTACTGCCACCTCACCCTGTAAGCAAAGGCCAAGTGGGAGCCTAGACTTGTATCCCTACCTGGCCAGGGTGGTGTCAGAGAAAGCGAAATGGGGCTGGGATTCATTCTTTCCAAGAGACAGTGAGTCCCCCTATTCCGTGGTGTCAGTGGTCGTAGGGAGCCTGGACTTGCACCCAGGCCTCCTGCCTGGGTTGTGTCATAAGAGGCCTAGGGGAGATTCAGGATTGTCACTAATTTGAGGCAACAGTTAGGCCACCCCCACAGTGTAGGTGAGAAACAGTAACCAGGCATCCCTCGCCTTCCAGTCAGGCGGGTATCAGTGGAGGACAGTGGGAAGCCAGAACTCCCACGTGTGTTGAGCAGTAGTGATCACACACACTCTCCCTATCTGGCAGCAGCAAGGCAACACCCATTTCCCACACTGATGCTGTGTCGGAGAAGATAAAGAAAGATTCATAGTCTTAGAATTCCCAAAATGTCCAGGATTCAATTGAAAATCACCTGTCATACCAAGACCCAGGAAAATTTCAACTCGAATAACAAAAGACAACAGACATCATCACCAAGATACCACTAATGTTAGAATTATCTGACAAGGATTGTTAAAGCAGCCATCATAAAAATGCTACAATGAGCAATTACGAATATGCTTGAAACAAATGAAAACAGAAAACCTTAGAGAAGAAACAAGATATAAAGAAGAACCAAATGGAAATTGTAGAACTGAAAAATAACAATAATTGAAATTCTAAAATTCAGTGGGTAGATCTAAAAGGTAAAGGGAAGACAGGAAAGAATTTGTGATCCTGAAGGCAGGACAACAGAAATTACTCAGTCTGAGCAAAAGGGAGAATTGGACTGGAAAAAATTAGGAGCGCCTTCGAGACCTGTGGGAGTGTAATAAAAGATCTAACATCTGTGCCATGGGAGTCCAGGAAGGAGATGAGAAAGAGGATGGGGTTAAAAAAGTGTTCGAAGAGATAATGGCTAAAAATTCTCCAAATTTGGGAAAAGATATAAACCTACAGATTCAAGAGGTTTAGTGGACCTCAAACAGGATAAACCCAAAGAAATCCATACCAAGACCATAGTCTAACTTCTGAAAACAAGACCCCCCTGAAACCAGCTAGAAACACCTTACAGCAGTTTGCATGACAGCAGATTTCGCATCTGAAATCATGGAGGTGAGAAGGAAATGGCACAACATTTTTCAAGTACTGAAAGAAAGGAATTCTCAACCCAGAATTCTATATCTAGTGAGTATTTCCTTCAGGAATGAAGAGGAAAATTAGAGAATTTGCCATACCAGGCCGACTCTCAAAGAATGGCTTAAGGAAGTTCTCTAAACAGCAGTGATTAATGAAGTAATCTTGAGACATCAGGAAGGAAAAAAGAACAACAGAAAGAATCAAAACATGGTGAACACAATAGACTTTACTCTCCTTTTGAGTTTTCTAAATTATGTTTGATGGTTGAAGCAAAAATTATAACATTGATTTGGTTTTTAGTTTATATATAAGAAATATTTAAGGCAATTATAAATGGGAGAGAGTAAAAGGATGTGAAGGGAGGTCAGGTTTCTACAAATTGAAATTTTTCAATTGAACTGATACAGCCACTCTGGAAAATAATTTGGCAATTTCTTTAAAAACTGAACATACACTGACCACACAACCTAGCATTTATACTCCTGGGCATTTATCTCAGAGAAATGAAAACTTCCATCCATGCAAAAACCTGTACGTGAATGTTCATAGCAGCTTTATATGTCATAACCAAAAACTGGAAACAACTGAAATGTCCTACAGGAGTTGAATGGTTAAATAAACTAGTACATCCATGCCATGGAATACTACTCAGGATTAAAAAGAAACCAACTGTTGATACACGCAGCAACTTCGATGAATCTCAAGGGCATTATGCTGAGTTCAAAAAAAGAAAAAAGAAAAACAGCATCAGCAGTTCTCATACCATGTGATTCTATTTGTGTAACATTCTAAAAATGACAGATATTTAGAGATGGAGAACAACTTGGTGGTCTCCTGCAGTTAGGGAAGGTGGGGTTGAGAGAAGTGGGTGTGACTATAAAGAGATAGCAGGAGGGGGATCTCGATGGTTCTGTAACAGTTCTGTCGTGGTAGTGGGGGTGGTTACACAAATCTACATGTGATAAAATACCCTAGAACTACACACAACATTGTGCCAGTGTCCATATCCAGGTTTTGCTTTGAGCTGTGGTTATGTAAGATTAGGTGAAATTGAGCATAAGAGTACACAGGTCCTGTCTGAACTATCTTTACAACTTTGTGAATATATACTTATTTCAAAACAATTTTTTAAAGTGACGACTTGCTGATATACACAACCAAGTTAAATCATCTTTCACTTAGCATAGTGCATTTGTTTTGAAAATAAATGCGTTATGCTAAGTGAAAGAAGACACACTCAAAAAGCCACATACATACTGTATCATTCCGTTTATGCTGACATGCAGGAAAAGGGAAACTATAGGGCAGAGAACACAGTAGTGCTTGCCTAGGATTAGGGTTTAGGGATTGACCACAAAGGGGCAGCATAAGGGAATTTTGGGGGACAGTGGAACAGTTCTTTATCTGGGTGGTGATGGTGGTTATTCAATGCTATGCATTTGTCAAAACTTACAAAACTGTAAATGAGTAAATTTTACTATGTGTAAGTTTTAAAAATCAAAAAGAAACTATAGTAGTCAAGTAGAAATACATTTTCTAAGAGCTTACCTTTTGATGACTAAGAATTTTCCAGAAATTTCTAAGAATATGTGTGTTTTCTGTCCCAACAGGTGATGCTATGAGTGAAGAAGACATGCTTCAGGCAGCTGTGACCATGTCTTTAGAAACCGTTAGAAATAATTTCAAAATGGAAGGAAAAAAATAATACCTTTTACAAATCACTTAGATATTTATGCTTTCCAACATTATCCTGTGTGATTACAGCATAGGGTCCATTTTGATAATGTGTCAAAGAGAACAATGTTCACAGAGGAAGTAAGACTTTTAGGTGGTTTGCAAACAAAAAGATGAGAAAGTGGAAACATGTCAGGTGTAGGACTAAATAATGATCCTCCAAATACTAGCCAAAGAGGCATTCAGCAATTAAAAAATTTAAAATAGTTTTCTAAATGTTCTTTTTTCATTTTTGAGTGTGCAATATCTAACATGGCTGAAATTAGGGCATTTTTCTTGGATCTTTTTGCAGACCAACTAATTAGCTCTTGCTTTTTCCATACATTTTGTTTTGTTTTTCTCCCTTCTGTGTAGGTAACTTGGCTCACTTTCATCATCTAATAGTTGTTTCTATTTTTCATTAACCAAATTAACCTTTTAGGTTAAGCGTCTCTTCTCTATATTGATAATAGTAACGGTTCCAGAAGGATGAGCTGTTTCTCTCCATCTGTTATTGTGCTTCTGGGGAGTTTTCTTGTGTTATTGTCTCTGATCACAATTTCTCTGCCACTTAGATTGAATTATTTTTCTACAACTCTTTTAAAAGGTAATAATCTTTCTTGAGGTTTTGCTTTTTAAGTCCCCCACGATGGGATCATTATTTCATGATTCTGGTGCATTCCTAAACTCTGAAATCAGCTCTGCACAAATAGTTAAGAATAAATGAACATTTTTTAAATGTGTGAGCACGTGCTTTCCCAAACGCTTAATGAATGTCCTCTCAGTTATGTCAGAACTTCGCAGCATTGTAACCCTCCTTCCAGCACCTTGTCACTTCCTTTCTTTTCCAATTGAGAAAAACAGGAGAAGCATAGTATGCAAGCCAGTTTCCTTCTGTTATAAGACAACACATAATACCCACCATGAATGTATGATAGACAAATTTGGCCTTCAATTTTAGTAGCAGTTTTATTTTTCTTGTGACTGGAGCTGTCTGTTCTATTTGCAGCCGAGTCATAGAATGTAGGTGGTCTGTTTCTGCTGTACATCTTCTCGTAGGTATAGCTTGCCAGAGGTGATCATCTGGAACATGAAAATAATTTACTAACAAAAATATATTTAAATTTATACTGTGATTTAATACTTGCATCATGTTTAAATAGCTTAAGAGTCATAGAAGTCACACAGTACTTAATGGGTCTGTAAATAAGAAAGTCTTTAGTTTTGATAAACATTCTTTAATTGGGATGCACAGAGTTTCTGGCTAGGTCAATACAGTGGTATGATTTTGGTGAAAATTAACCATGTTGCTCTGAAATAGGTGTTTTAGGTTCTGTTATCTACTTTCCATCCCTCATTCTCCACCCCCTTCTGAAGCCCTTTTGAATGTTGAATTGTTCATAAGTTAAAATTTAAGAAGAAATTTCAGCTAACGACTTAAAAAATTAAAGTATGGTATGTTGTCATACTGGTGTGTGGCTGCACACATTTTTATCAGGGAAATTTTTTTGATCTAGGATTTATTGCTAAGTGAAAAGAGATGAGAAAATGCCTTTTATTTATGATTATGATATAGTTTTCTCTTGGATAGAGACAGATTTTTTTAGTTGTTATTTTGTGCCAAATGAAGTCTTCTGAAGTTTCCCTCACATAAAATTAGTTTTCTTATAACAATTGAAAATGTTTCAGAATTATAAAACTTGACAACTGCTAGGGATGTTAGAGTTTAGTACATTTCCCTAAAGAATTACAAACCAAAATATGCTAGTCATATTTTCCATGAGTATTTGGCCTTTATCTTTTCCCATTGAAAGATTACATTAAACTTTTCATATACTTGAATTGTTAAGCTCTCTAATATAAAAATGAGAAAATGAATATGCATAAGTTTTAATCTTAGAGTTTATAAAGTTTTTATATTACACACCCTTGTTAAAGCCCTTAAGGAAATATGGCATGTTGACCTTCACTTATTAGAGATTTTTTAAAAAGCAGAGCTGAGCACACACTGGATATATTTGAATGTGAAATTTAGTTTGTTGTGAAATTGTTATATTTGGCAGACAGATCCAGAAGCATTAGTAAACTGCCATCCTGTTTGGATTGGCCTAAATTTAACTGAACATTTAGATTCCAACAGTTGGCCAGTATGAAAAGATCCCAATGCTCATAGGTACAGTATCAGAAAATTTAACAGTCATACAAAGCTACAGTTCACACATCAGGAACTGCTGTTTACTGTAAACCTCCTGCAGGAAAGTCAGGAACAATGAAATTCACAATAACTGTCTGCTAACAACTTTATTTGTATAAAGATTTCCATTCTGTTTTACCAATTGGGAACACTTTAATGTTTAATATTTAAACTATTGGTATCATTTTTCTAATGTATAGTTTGTATTACCAAGATAAAACACACAGTGGTGATGCTAGTGTTAGAAGTTTAAACAGGCTTTGGAAATGCCACTTTCATATTTTGAGATGTCTTGGATTTAATAAGTAATTTATGTTTTAAAATTCAGAGTACTTAACCTCTGCTCTAAAACCATCAATATACATTTTTTACAGTAATTATCTTAAAAATATTTCAGTACTGTAAATTGCTTTAAGAGGTTGCTGTAGGTAAACTAAGATCTTGGCCAAAAAACTTACAATTCACGGAATATTTAAGAAGGTGCTTTTTTTTCTTTAAAACTTGATTTTTCTTAAGACTTTATTTATGCCAAAGTTAATGAGGAAAAAAGCTCAAAACTAGTTGATAACCATTATAGGCAAAACTACAAGTAGTCCACATTGTTTTATTTAATATTAAGTTGAATAAAGTAAATTTTATTACAGTCAGAGCCTAAATCATATTTTTAATGTCTGCGTATTTGATACTATTTTAAAATAGTATTGGACTGGTGCCAAGATTTACTAAATATCTTAACATTGGCCCATTGGACCTATGCAAATTAAAAAGATTGATTCAGTGCATAAGCCAAATATGATAATAATTGACATACCTTCAGTTGAAAAGTAAATCTTGAAGTTTTAAATTCGTAAGAGGATTCAATAATTAATATCGATGACTTCCTATTAAGAACTTGATCTGCAGTTGGAGAGGCCTGTGGCCACTACTTTCAAAGTAAATTGTTGTATCTAGGCCCTGATGAGTATGGAGATGTTATAAATGTGATCTTAATTAAGACAATCTAGATCGGATCAACTAATCCTCAGCAGTGTAAACAGTTTTTCATATTTTCAAATAAAAACTTTCCTTCATTCCTTTAAAACCATCATCTTTTGCTAAAGAACTAGCTTGTATTGCTTTTTGAAGTCTTACACATAACAAAAATATTTTTGTTCCGTTTTGCTTTCTCGAATGAAAATTATTAACATGGTTAGTTAATTCTTGAATTTTGATTTTTTAATTTGAAGAAAACCTTTGCTATTTTTTTTTCCAGAATGGTCTGGCATTTTAAGAATTAATGCTGTAGTAACATCACTTCTAAGTTTACAGCAATTGGCATGTTTAATAATAGTGCTATCGATAAATATTTTAAGACTGTGGACTCATAGACAAGGAGAGGAAAGCAATAGTGAAATATATGTAGAAATTCCTGATCAATTTAGGAAGCACTTCAGTTGTCTCTTGCATAGTTCAAAGGTGAACTTTTCCAGGAATTTTTTTAGTGCTTTTTTTTTTTTGGGAAGAGGGAAACATACATTTGAATTTGATCATCTAATTTCTACAACACTGGACTATTAGGAAAAACTTTTTAAAAATTACTGTTCTGTATAAACTATTTGAAATTCAAGTACAAAAACCATCTGAAATGAAAAGCATTGTCTTTTGGCCATGACACAAGTGCACTGTGACAGCGCTGTTTGCTCAGGACTCGACTCTGCAGCCCTTCTGTGTGTGCCCCTCTGAGTTGTGCTGTTTTTATACACACAGGCCTTCCTGTCTGGTCTGTAGAAAAGCCGGGCTTCCAAAGCACTGTTGAACACTGAGGATTCTGTTGTTAATGTGGATGTTTGATGAGTTGTATTTTAAGTATAAAAGATTATTAAATAAAGATAATGTTTGCTTTTTTATTTTTGTTTTTATTTGTGTTTAGTATTAATTCATAGCCTCGCCATTCAGAGTTTGGTTGGAGAACCAGAAGCATCTTCAGAAATGCAGTTTCAGACCATAATGAGAAGCTGCGTTTTTAAGAGGATCCCTAGGGTTTTCACGTGCAGAGTGAAGTTGGAGAAGCATTGTTTTATGGACTGTGATGATGAGTAAAGCAGGTCAGAGAACCCAGTGATGCTGTGTGCCAGCGAATGTTTGCCAAAGGGCCATTACTTGATCTGATCTTGTCTAAGGGAAGCTAAGTATCCCACATTTTTATTTGAAATTAATTTTTAAATGTTGGCTCAAGTATTTTTTAACCTTGAGGGCCGGACCACATTAGTAACAATTTTTAAGAGTGCTTGGTGTTTCCTCATTTTATCCAACTCTGGACATCAGAATCTGACTAATAATTGGAATCCACCTGGGCTGACTGATGCATATAGAACTCTCAAATTTTATAACAAGGGTTGTATATCCATTTTAGCTTTAATTAGGGTGGGGCACTTCATAGCATGGTGCTTAGAAGGCCCAATTCATTGAATTTGGATACCACCGAATGATCTCAACAGTCATCTGTGGGCCTTAGGAAACAAGTTGATTTGAACACCCATTTGACATGTTAAAAACTTTATCTTTTATAAAAGGGAATTTGGGGGTTTGTCCTTACCCTGAAGATTGCATATTTTAGGACGCTTTTAACCAATTTTGTACCTGTGCCATCAAATGCTCATTTTGCAAGTAATTTTATAGGTTCATTTTTGTCAGTAATTTGCATCCAGGTGACCTCTTCAGTCTGTACTCTTGACGTTTCTCCTTTATACAATGTGGTCCTAACACCTCCTTACAAGACTTTAGATAAACCAGGCCCTCTCCCACCTCCAGGCATTCTGTCACACTCCTCACTTGCCTCTTTTTCTTCGCCTTTCAAGATCCTTGTCCCTAGGTTAATTGGTTATCCCCTGCTATAAGGACTCTCAGCTGGACTACCACCATTTGTTGCATCCTGTTCTCTCCAAGACTGTTCCAGTTCTTATGTCGGGAACCCCAGCCACCCTTTGTCTTCTGGGCTGCTAGAGAAAAACAATTCCTATGTCATCCACTCGGTCACTCAACAAAACAATTTGAGCACCTACCATGTGCCAGGCATGGTTCTGAGAGCCTGGAAACAGTCATGAATAAGATAGTCTACTCTCATGGGGTTTGCATTCTAGTTGGCTGTTAGGTAGAGGAAACATTTAAATTAATGAACATGACTTCATAACATGGTAAGAGCTATGCTTGTTCTGTGAGATAGACAATAAAACAGGATAATGTGATGGAATGTGACCGGGAGAGAGGGCTGCTTCAGTTTGGGTTCAAGAAAGGTCTCCGCAGAGGTGACAAACATCTGAAAAGTGATGAGGCAGTCATGCAAAGGTATGGTGCCATGATACCTGCCTGAGGAAACAGCAAGCATGGCTCTGACATGGGAGTTGGTGGCTTGTTTCCGAGGAACAGAGAAGTCCGAAGAGGCTAGGTGGTAGTGAACAAAAGATAAAATTAGGATGTAGGCAAAATCTTAATCATGAGGTTTTATAAAGATAAATATAGATTGTATTTATATTTTATTACACCGAGCACTGTGGCTCCACTTTCTAGAATATTACTAAGCCTTTAAAAAAAATCTTTTAAAAGGCTCATTAACTACATCTTCCACCAAAGAGCATGCCAGTGCCCACCTTAAGCAACCCCCAAAAAACTGGCTAATGTTTAACACTAAAGATATTGTTTAACCTATCTCAGGTGAGAATTTTAGTCAAGGCTCCCAACTACCCACTTGTGCATTTTTGTTTTCTTCCTGTTAAATCTATGCAATTATTTTCACTATCAGACAACTACGGTTCAGTTTTGAAACCTTAGTATCATATTTTGTTAATCCACACGAACTATAGCAAATAATATCTAGAGCTCTCCTAGTTACACCCCTTTTGTCTTTCTCAGCCACTTTTACTCCAGGACATCATCTCATGTACAATCATGTGCAATAACATCTTAGCTGTTCACTTGGCCTTCAACCTCTCTGTTTTTGAGTCCAGCTTTCCCAAAGGTGCTTAGCCCTATCACTCCAATTACCTTTAAGTGAAACTTCATGACTGTAGACATGTTATTACAGAGAATAATGTGTAAATATTGGGAAAAAATGCCAAATTATTATTTGCTGAAATGACTGTATGCCTAGACAACCCAAGTAAATTAACTGAAACACTACTAAACTAATAAGGGCGGTCAGTAAGTCAATCAGATCCATAATACACAAAAACTCAATAGGTTTTTGCTTTTTTTTTTTTTGTATATCGGCAATAACCTGTTAGAAAATGCAATGAAAAAATACCAAGACCAATAACATCTAATCCTTGGAGTGCCAAAGAGGTACTAGGTTCCAAGCGGACTGTAGAATGACACTTTTATTAACGTTCCCCATTCTACAAATGAGAAACTGATGCAAAGAGAGGTTAAGTAGCCTACCCAAGGTCATACAGCTAAGTGAAAGACCCAGGCTGTCAGACCTAGGAGTGTGTACATCTAACTCCTGGGCAATGATGCCTTTCAAATGAACACATGGAAAATGTTTAGTAAACACTTTCAGAACGAGATGCAAATTTTCTTTTAAATTCATTCGGATTTCAGGGAGAGCTGCTATTGTCTGGTGCCATCAGATTCCAACTACTAGAGGCATTTCCAAAAGTTCCATTCTCAGATAGTGCAATCCTTGGTACCAGAATGCAATCTCGGGTAGTGAATAAAAGAGAAAAATACCAGAATATTTAGTGCTGTGCTTAAGAGACCTGCAGACCTATCCTATTTATGAAAGCACAAAATGCAGTGTCCTCCCTGGCCAGGTATGTGTGTCCTAGTACCACTGCAGCAATAGTTTGTGAGTCATGTAGCTTTTCTTCCTTTAGAGAGGAAAGCAAACAAGGCGGGACACTGGTGTATGCACGCACTAATTTGTGTAACAGGACTGGGAAGGGTCAGAATTTGCACAGCAAGTGCCACCAACGCCGTAGGAGACTTTACATTAGAACAGCAATTTTTCTATGGTAAGTTGCCATGATGTCCTCTAAAGAGTTGTTTGGGGGAAAGGTGGTCTGTGTTAATTCATGAGTTAAATAGGCTTCATGAATAAAGCTCTTCGTATATTAAGGAAGGCAGAGTTTAAACAGTGAGCTGAAAAATCACCAGAGAAAATTTCTACTATAGAAGATAATCCATGTAAGTGTGTTTCCCTCTTGGACACTTGAATTTGCAACCCATCCTTCCTGTGCATCCTCAGCTCCTACCGTAGCGACCAGCACAGCGCAGCCCTTGACAGGTTGTCAAATAATCGATACAGTAAAGTGTAATAAGTTATGTAAAGAAGCGGTGGAGCGACCCCCTCCAAGACCCCTCACACCGCTGTCTTCACGGGTGTAGTCAGAATTAAAACTCAAGTTCCAACAACACAGTGAGAGTCCACAGGGTTCCTGGGCCACGTCAGCTTCGGGGGCGTAGCCACCGAGGATCGGTTCTGCCTGAAACACAAACTGCTGCCGGCAGACAAGGCCGCGTCGCCGTGGATTTCTTCAGGTATTCCCCGCGCGGCCAAAGCAGGAGGGCTACGTGGAGCCTACCCCTTGACCTTAGCCCGAGGCTGCGGCCGCCGCCTACCGCTCTCAGTCCTCCGCGATCCCACGCTCCCTTGCGCCAGGGACACGTCCGTCAGCTCCGCAGGGCCCTTCTACACCACCGCGGCGCCTCTCTATGGTCCATTGCCGCGTTCGACTGGGTGTCATGGCGGCCGGCGTCGAGTTGGCAGGAGTTACCTGCAGAACTGGGGGAAGTCACTAAAGCAGAGGAAGAAGTGGCCCAACCAAGAAGTGGCTTAACCCAGACAGTTGCAAGTCGTGGGAATGACCAGAGGCCCCGTGGAGGTGACTGTGTCACAGAAGCCGGGCCCCTGGTAAAGTCCCAGGCCAGGCCTCTGTGTTTCTGGGCAGAGTCGGGCCCTTGGTGGGAGCCGCCCCCCCCACCCCCCCGCGAAGCCGGCGTTGCATAGGAACCCCACATTGTGTTATAGAATCCAGAGTGTTCTGCTTTGCACTAGTCTCGCGAAGGCAGCCGTTCGAGGACATCTGGCGGGGTCGTCCGACGACGCTGGACGTTTTTCTCGGAGCGGATCAGGTTGTTCTCTAACCTGCAGCGATGTCGTCCTGGCTTGGGGGCCTCGGCTCCGGCTTGGGCCACTCCCTGGGTCAAGTTGGGGGTAGCCTGGCTTCCCTCACTGGCCAGATTTCAAACTTTACAAAGGATATGCTGATGGAGGGCACGGAGGAAGTGGAAGGTAACAGCTGGAGCGATGGGAGGGAGGGATTTTCTGGGACCCTGGGAGCGTCCGTTTGGTCCCAACTTCCATCCGTCAGGAGACGTGGACGGGTCGCAGAAGAGTGTCACTCCGCCCCTTTTTCTTTACACTCCTTTTGCCTCTTCACCTGTTTAGTCTGATGAAGAGACCACTGGAGTCTGGGAGAAGAGTTCTGGTTCTCCTCCCTTTAAATGCTCTGGGTATCTCAGAGCAGAGTGAAACTTCTGTGTTGAGTAGAGTTTATTTTTGTTTGGTTCATCCACGCCCACCGCTTACTTCGTCCTTAATTTGGGGGGCGGAACTGATTTTGATCCTCTTCCTTTCTACTGACAGTTTAAAAAAAATAATTTGTGTATGACACATAGTCACTTTGTAGTTGTTTTCCTCGAGTTTTGTAACAGTTGGAGTAACTCAAAGTATTTAGTAATGTTTTCTCTGTCTGACTTTAATGTAGTTAGTGAAACACGGCTGTTTTTACTATTTATATTTTTGTTTATTCTGGTGACGCAACGTTCCAGCTGAAATTTTTTTTTTTTGGTACCTAATTGCCCAACCCCCGCCCCCCACCTCCATATTTAGATAGTAGAACAAGAAAGATACTCTAGTCTTTGTGTATCCTTAGCAACCTTCACTCATTTTTTAAGTCCTCGTGTTTACTATGAATAGTGAGTGACCCAGAATTCCATGGTAATCGATGGTTAATTACTATTTTGATTTCCTGATATTTCTTTAAGCAAATAGTATTTAGATCAAAAGCGTTCTTTAATTTTAATCTAGGTCGGCCTCCAGAGAGAGAATGGGATGGTCTTTTGGATGAGAGTAGTTACTTTGACAATTTTATTTCTTATACATTAATAAATTAGCATTCTCATTTAATTTTTTAAATCCTAGTTGAATTGAGCCTTCATGTTTATTTGGTTGAAATAAAGATAGCTTGATAAAAAAATAGTATTTATATTTAGAATTTCTGTTGGGTCTATTTAGAGGAGAGGAAAATTGGAGAATGTCCAAGTGCATTTTACTGCTTGGGGTACCTCTTTGGTGGGAGATGCATCAGGTGGGGCAGGTTGGATGGGAGTGAAAGGGATTCTTTCCGTGTTCAGGAAATGGTCATGTGACCTTGAGGGCAGTCGGAAGCAGAGAAGGGTTGGATAACATGGGAAGTGACTAGTTTCTCATTATATCCTACATAGGGGGAAACAGTTGGCAATTCCTTTGACCCTAAGCCAGAAAATATGCATCTCCCCAACCTGGATGTCTTGCAGGCTTAAAGTGGAATTCATTTTGTTCTTCCCACCAAATGTGCTCCCATATTTTCGGTCTTAACGGTTTCACCATATACCCAGTTTCCTAGAGTAAATATCTTTGTCACCTTTATTTTGCCTATTACTCATCTCCTATTTCCAGTTGTTCACCAAATTTTGTTCATCCTGTGCTAGAATTGTTTCTTATATTTGTCCTTTCCTTTATTAATTCCGTTTCTTTAGTTCAGATCCCCATTATCTTTCCCATGCACTGTTTCTCTTTCACATCCCATCACCCATTTCTCCTTACTCCATTCCATTTTCTGTTGTGTTGCTAGTTACTTTTCTAAAAACAAATGTGCTTTAAAAATTCTTGACACTATTGCTTCCTGAATAAAATCCAAACCTCTTAGTTTTGGGATACCAGAAACCTGTCTTGTCTGGGTTCAGCCTACCTTTTCCAGTCTTACCTCTTGTTCCCTCCCCTTCTCTTTGAATGCCATACTTATGCACATTGACATACACGTGCATGCTTGCACCCAGAGCTTCTGCCACAGGGCACATTGTGAGGTACCTATATACAGCTTCAAGCCTCTGTGTGGAAAGCCCTTCCTTTTCTACTTCCTCTTCTACCCTTCTTTGCCTGGAAAACAATTTCTGTACATCTCTGCTCACATGTCAGGTACTTGGTGAAACTATTCTCACTCTATGGCAGGTTGAGTTGATTGCAAGTGATCTCTGTCCTAACAGAACTTTGTGACTCTCACACAGTACTTAACCATGTTGAATTATACTTTATCGCTTTCCTTGATACCTAGGGTGAGAACTGTATTTTATTTTTCCTTATATTACCAGTACGTGGCATCTTTCTTGGTACATAGTAGATGCTCAGTAAAAATTTTGCTGAGTGATTAAAAATCTGTAAAGTTGCTTAATGCTTTAGTTTTCTCTTTGTATTAAAATAGGACTTGCTTAACACCTAGTTTATTGGTTTTGTAAATCATTTCAAATAGGGTCAGAGTACAGTTCATTTATTCATTCAATAAGTATTTATTGAGTATCTACCGTGTCAGCAGTGAACAAGCTCCAAAATAACACTGTTAATACAGCTTGAAAATCATCCATATTTACAATATCAGAGTTGCTTTTCTACTGAACAGTTCTAATTTATTCAAAGTTAGGAGCATGGGCTTTTAAATCCAGCATGGATTGAAATTCCACTTCTGTGCATTACAAATTGTGGAATCTGGCAAATTATTAAATACTTAACCTCTAACAAGCAGAATTTCTTTATCTGTTAAATAGGGATAATCATCTCTACCATGAGGTTGAGAGGATTAAATGAAATCCTGAGTATGAAATGCCTAGCATTGTGCCTAGCAAATCGTAAGCATTAGTAAACAATAGCTGTTATTTTTATTTTCCCTTATTGAGAAAAAATTCTTTGATCTGTATAACATCTCTCCTCCATTTTTGAAAAGGCCAGGATTTTGAGGGGAGCAGTGAGAGAGGGAACATTTAAACTTTATTTTTTTTTTGATCCCTCTCTGAAACAATTGCTGCTTCTACAGTTATTTTCCTAAACAGAATAGATTATAATTTGTTCTCTTCTGAGTTGCAATTAGACAGTCCTGTCAGTTTCAAGTAAGATGCATAAACAGTCACAGAAGCAACCCCATCTAGTGATTTTTAAAGCAAGAGTGCGTTTGTTACTATTTTTTATTGGATGCCACTTGTATTGTCTTTTGATTTAAACTAATTTAGAGAAGTTATTTTTATAGTGTTAAAGTGCTATGCATAATGAAAAATACTAATACTTAGAAAAAAAATCTAACTGTGGATGATTTTCTGGCGGCAACAATGGTGCTATTTTGACACTGCTGGCTGCAGTCCCCTCTTAAATGAAAAGTGTTCAAAACCAGATTGAGCTATTTCCATTTTAAATAAATTGTGTCTGTGTTACTTGAAATAAGTGTCCTCTTAATGTATATTCATTCTTTGTTCATAGGTCATTAATTATTTGATAGTATTGGGAGCAGAAGTTAGAAATAAGGCCTTAAACCAAGTCGTATAAATTTTATCTAAAATTATACTAAGTCATCAAAGATTTAATTTGTAAAACTTAAATTTTCATAACAAAAATTTAATGAATACTTAACAAGGGGTAAAAGTAGATGTCCTAGAGTGTAGAAGATGGGCAAAAAGAATGACTTATGTGACAATAAAGAACATTTGTGACAGTAGAAAATTATGATAAAAATTAAGTGGTATTTGTTTTCTGAATTTGTACTCAGATTGGCATGCCATTCTGTTTAAAGCTCAGTGAAATGTATTTTCTTTAAAATGCTTTTTTACTAGTGTATATGATATTAATCATATATTCAGTATATGCTGTTTCTTTTGTAGCAGAATTACCTAATTCTAGGAGAAAGGAAATTGAAGCCATTCATTCAGTCTTAAGATCAGAGGTAAGGAAAATTATTGAACTTAGACTTTTCTTTTTTGAAGCCATGAAAGTTAGTCACACTTTTATTTCAGTCCTCTCTTTTTAATGCACTGTTTACCACTTTTTATCTCTTCTTTAATTTTTTTTAAGCACTGTCTTTAGATGAATATATTTACATGTTACTGCACTTTGATATTTAATATTCCATCTTTGCTTCTATATGCTGGAAGGAGGAAAACCGCCAAATGTAGAAATACTAGTGGCAACAACTTATCATTATTAAGGATTTATTATGTTCTAATTGCAGTAGAACATTTCAGTTTAATGTGAAAATGCAATTCTGTTTAATCTAGAGCATTTTAATCCCCTAACATTAAAAAGTGTGATATTTGTATACCAAGAGGTTAATATAGGAATAGCAAATTAATGTTATCATGTTTTTCACTATTAGTCAGTGCCTCATGGTGACTAGCTGTGGACATTGTACTTAATAGGGATGAGGCAAACTTGGAAAGGGTTCAAAGGAAAGCCGTAAAAGAAATGAAAGGATTTAAAGTGGGATCTATTGTAAAGCACTAGACACTCAACTAGTCAGCCTTTGGATAAGAGCAGCGAGGGAACACTTAATAGCAAAAGATACTCTTAGAGAACTGTGTTAAGCAAGTTTTCCTCTCTGTTGAGCCCATAAAAATTTTGAATTTAAATGTAAGAAAATATTTACCGACATCAAGCATTTTTCATATTTGATCTGGATTACCAAGGTGAGATTGTGGAATTTGAAAGTAGAGGGACCTCTCAAGAGTAACTGCAGTAGAACATGGCAATATGGTGGCACTTAAGAGACTTAGTTTAATTATCTAATAAGTAGGTGCTGAGCGACAGATGAACTCAATCGCTTCTCTCTTTGTAAGGCCGAGATAGGAAATTGTTCCTGTAGTCCCTAAAGAAATCCTAAAGAAATACAGGCCCACTGAGAAAATTAAATGGCACGGATGTGTGTAGTGGCATTAATTGAGGTAAATTCTCCAGTGTACATTGCAGGGGAGGAGCTGGGGAGTACATAATGTTAACCTGCCTAATGAGTGCTCTGTTTTGAGCTTGAGAAGGGAGACAGAACTTTTCTGTCTCTCTGTTGATCTCAATTCTAATCTCTCCTAGTGTTATCATTGACTATATGGCAAGTATGACTCTAGCGTTTAGAAATATATATTTTTAGTATAACATATCCCCAAATGAAAGCCAGCTTCCTCATTTGGTGCTTATTCAAAGTAGTGTGAGCTACTTAAGTACTAGAGAAAAACAAGACTATTGGACTTTGCAAGGGCTTTATTTTCTAAGGTTTTGACTGTACATGATTCTTGCCTTATGTCAGTACGTAACCATTTCATACCTTACCCCTTATGTGATTGTACAATAAGAATAGATGAAGATATAATTGAAGCCATCAGGAAACTTACCATATAAAATTCTATTTAGAAAGTTTTTGTATAGCTAGAGGACAGTGTGTTTTCCAGAGGAAATTAGATTTACTTATAGATGTTAATATTTGAAGCTGGTTCAGTTAGTTAGATTTCTTCAGTTGCAAGTAACAGCAACTAACCTACTAGACTAATTGAAACCTTGTATGCCAAGAAAAATAGTCGTCTCATTTACCATCTGGATCCAATGGACTCTTAGTTTTTAATATTAAATCATTTTAAAGGTAATTTATAGAAGTAAAAATAAAGTGATAGTGAGAAACTATTAGAAATTTTAATAAGAACTTATATAACAAATCCAAATTTTTATTCTATATGTTTCTGGTTTTGAAAACATACTCAAAATAAGCATTGTTCTTTAAATGCAATTAATTGCTTATTTATTAACTCTTACACATGAACTGGGATGTATCTTATCTTGTAAATACTGATTTCAGGTTAATTTACATCTCTAAATAGATTTTAGCTTATCGCTACTTCTGGTTCTTGACTTATGTATTAAAATCAGTACTTTTGAAAACTTCGATGGCTCATGATTTTGTTGAAGAGACAGTGGCTGTTGTCTTTGCTTCTTTGCTAAGAAGGACGAAAAGTCATAAATATCAGTCATTATAGATCGTTAGGACTACTCAAAGCATTTTTTATTCTTGGATTTATAAATACCACTTAAAGTGATCAATCCACTGAATTTTTTCGTTTTTATGTCATCTGTTTCCTCCCAGTCAGCTTTGTGTTCACATCTGCCTTCAGCATTTTTCCATGTATGAACTACATCAAGAAAATGTTGGCATACAAATATCATATATAGTGAAAGAATACATATCCATTTAGCAAAGTGTGGAATGGTTTAGGTCCTTGTCAAAAAATATTGTGAGATAATATCTTTTCATATTGAATGACTAACTTGATGAGAACACCCTATTTCCTCTTTGTTATTAGAAATGTATTGTGATATTTGTATTCAGACAAATACTCATCAATTCTTGAGTTGGAAAAAACTCATCTAGAGTATTGTTTTTTGAAGTTTTGTCTGAGACTTTGCTTCTGACTCAGTTTCACCATAACCGTTAGGCCAGAGTGCTGTTTCTGTCTCTCTGCATTTATCTCTTTAGTTGTCTAATAAACTATGAAATATTTTCTTCTGTTGTCTTCTCTTTGAAAAATGAAAATTCTGAATTTTCAGCTGTGTTCAACGAAAGCAAAAAAACAAAACAAACAAAAAAACTACAAGATATCTGCAGTTTGCCTTTTCCTTTTTAAAAAATGATGCAATACTTTGGGCAGTGCAGGCAGAAAGCTGATCATTTCACTATTGCATCATTCTTCTAGGTGATTCTGCCAGTCTTTCGTTTTCTTATTAGTTAAGTATTTTTTAGCATAGTTGGGAATAATTGATGAATAATGATAAAATAATTCTTAGGATGATAAAAATAAAACATTTCAAGATATAAAAAACACAAGATCTTACTGTTGAGTTGTACACTTGAAACTTACTGGATTTCATTAACCAGTGTCACCATAATAAAAAAAAAAAAGCCACACACACACAAGATCAGTATGATCCCATGATTGTTCTTAGACTTATAAAAGGGCCCATTGAACCCTATGGAAATTCAATGGATTTCATTAACCAGTGTCACCATAATAAAAAAAAAGAGCCACACACACACAAGATCAGTATGATCCCATGATTGTTCTTAGACTTATAAAAGGGCCCAATGTACCCTATGGAAATTGCAAGATAAAATGAGTTTTATTCTGTTAAAAAAAAAATGAGTAAATTTTCTCTTGTTTGGAAGACTTCTAAGAAAGGAGAAAAATCATAAACACCAGTCATTATAGATAGTTAGGACTACTCAGAAAAGAAACTCACGAGCTAAAATCGGTTCCATTAGACCTTGATGGTAAAACAGGAGTTAAGCAGGATGGACTAATTTAAGGCTATGAGGGTCTCATGCATTACAAGGGCAGAAATTATAGCCAGTCTTTAGGAAGGGGCTGCAGCCAGAACTGGAGGCTATCTCTCTCTCTTCTTTTTGTTTCTGTGTGTGTGTGTGTGTGTGTGTGTGTGTGTGCGCGCGTGCGTGTGTGTGCGCGCGCGCACTTTCAGACAAGCGCTCTCTGCTTTGTATTCCATATAATAGAAAATGGCCACTGACAACTCTTGGTTACTGATCAGCCACATGAATAGAATCTGTCCTTCGTGTGCTTTATCTTTCTCTCATATGGCTAGGGAGATGAGGAAAGAACCAATTAGGTATTGGCCAAATTGCAAGTCTGAGCTCTAGTTATTAATCAGAGTAAACAAATAGCCTTAGGTATTCTTATGTGAAAAAGCCCTGAGTAGACTTTTATGACTAGGTTCTGATGTGACTATATTGTGTTTTTTCAACTATGTGTGGTGTCTTTCATGTTAACAGCTCAAAAGTAACCAATAGAAGATAATTAGTTGTGTGACCTCAGGTCCAATTTCTTATTAATATTTTTTCAAGGTAGCCAAAGTCTATGTTAGATTTTTGGAGTCTATACTTCCAAACTAGGATTTATGTATTTTGCAATTTTTTCTTTAGTTTGCTCCATTGATTTTCTCTGGAAATTCATATAATCTCCTTGGATCATAATTTTCACATCTCTGAATGTAAGAAATTCCTAGAATTTAAGAAGAAAACAGATGACACTCACAAAGTGAAAGTCTTCACCTTCTAGCAGGAGCTTTTTCACCATCAATGTCCTTATTTTCAGTTATCATTGTTAAACTGTGTAGATATATTAGTAGAATTCTTAGTAAATTATTATCTGTAATAATTTATAAATAACTTTTTGAAGAAAGTTTTAGTGTCCATTTCTCTTGCTCCATTATGTACTTAATCATTCAAATGTCAAAGAATGATAGGTTAAGATAATATTTTTGTACATAAAATTTAAGTAATTTTTTCCATATATGCCAACATCTTAAAGGACCGTGAATCTAGATTCATTGAATTATTCTTAGAATATTTTGTGTACGTTTAACTAGCTTTTCAAACTGAGTGGCTTTCAAGTTGGACTTTTCAGAGGTGCCTCAGGAGCCTGGGGTTTTATGAGGCTTTGGCCTCCCACCTGTACTTTAGCCAGAAGTCTTTTTAAAAAACATTTCTTTTAAAAAGTTCTGTTTGGGGAGAAAACAAAGTTCAAACATGTAATCTAGTTTATTAATTTACGAGACACTTATTGTCTATTATATGTTAGACACTGGTGTACAAAGATGGGGGAAATGTTGATCAATGGCTTTTTCTTAGCAGAAAGTCAAACTAAACAAGATTTTTTTTTCCTACTTTGGTTCAGAATTACACATAATCTCTATAAACATCCTTATTGCACTTATAACTTTAATTGAAAGTATATTTTAAAGGCCAGAATTCTGTCAGCCCTATATTTTACATCTCTTTATACGAAGCAATATGTTTTTCATAATGTCATGCATATAGCTGTCACTAACATGTTTTACTTTTTAGGTTTTTTTTGTTGAAAATACCTTTTTCTTTGCTTCTAGAATGAGAGACTTAAAAAACTTTGTTTTGATCTGGAAGAGAAGCATGAAGCTTCAGAGCTTCAAATAAAGCAGCAGTCTACAAGTTATCGAAATCAATTACAGCAGAAAGAGGTAAATGTTATCAGTTATTTCATACCTATTTCACTGTAAGGTACTTAGGAAGTGTTTAAGAGTTATAATATAAATCAAGCTATATTTAGATCCATAAGAATATTGAAAGGGTGTTGAAGTTAATAATTCCCAGCTCGGTTTGATATCATTAACAAGAACTCTGTAAGCTTTTTTATTACATTTACATTAACATAACCTTTGTGGAGTTGAGTTTTTGCTTTCCAAAAGAAAAGCATATAAGAAAAGTCCTTGTATAAAATATTTTTAGGTATCTGTTCCTTATAATTTCTAATTTTATGAAACTTAATTTCTCATCTATTTACCTAAAATTGTTTTAAATCAGTGCGATCATTGCTAATGACATATCTTTTTTAATGGTTTTAACTCTAAGTGTAATAAATGCTATATTGGCATTTACTTGATTTTCCATGGAAAAAGAGAATATGAAGTATTTTATACTGTGCTATTAATATTTTCCCTTTAGTTTGATAGAAATAGTTATTTGAAATTGGCTTATTTTTTCTTTGTAGTGCTCGTAATAGATATTAGATAATTTAACCAGCGTTATCATAAATCCTTAAAATATAGACTATGTCTCCATGTTTCATGAGAACTCATGAATTCTCTTTAGTGTTCAGTACATAACTGGAATTCAGTAAATACTTCTATTTAATTGAACCATTTCTTTTTTTATTATCCAGATCATTTGGATGTTCTTTATTTTGTTGATTAAATGTTCATTTGTATCATAAGTTTATATTTGGGTTTTTAAATTTAGATGTACTGATTTCTCTTTCCTTTAGTGACATATGATGAAAAATTAAACTACATCGATGATAAATATAAACATTTAAAAGAAGAGCTTAAATTTCCAATCTTTTGGGAATTGATTTCATAAAATAGAATAAAAATGAATTACTACAAATATAAAATAAATATAAAAAAGGAAAATTACAAGTTCAAATTAAAGTTAAAAGCCCACTTTTTTTTTTTAAAGCTCAACAGCTTACTCTGTCACATTGCTTTAAAAGTCTTTAAGCCTGTAAGTCTTTCAATTTCTGTGCTTATCTTTTCCTGGACTGTAGCAGGCATACATGGCATCAGTCTACAGACCACACTTGGAGCAGCATTGACTTAATAGATGTTACAGTAGAGCAGTAGTTCCTACCCAGGGGTTTATAGCTGAATCATGAGTGACACTTTTAAAAAATACAGATGCTTATGTCATCCAGGAGATTCTGGTTTAGCGTACTAGGAAGGGGCCCTGGTCTTGGTGTTTTTCGAAAACTCCATAGATGATTCTGATGCTTATATCCTAGTTGAAAACACTACTTTAGAAAACTTTGGCATTTTATTTCTACTTAACTATTGATATTAGAGGGCAAATTAAGCATTCATGTTTAGAAATGTCTCTTTGTTATTAGAACTTGCACTTTTAACTCTTTGATTTGATATAACTGTTGTATAATGAGAACTTTCTTTGTATTATAGCTACATTTGAAAACAATTTTGGATTTCAGTACTTTTTACTAGAATGAAAGATAATATATAAAAATACTTTAGCAGAATCTTTGGATCTGCTATTTTTTAATCTATTTGTTGATCTCTTTGTGATGTTCATATTCCCTAAAGATGCAATTTGCCTCATATCATTAATGGGAAAATGACTGAAATTATGAATGAATTATGAATTATGAAAAATGAATGAATTATGCACTACTATAAATCTCCATTAGAGAAGGGGCTCTGATATAAAAACCCTGTTTGTTATGACATCTGACATAGTTATGTTTGGTTTTTGTCTGTCTAATTGCTTGATATTACATATGTAGAAATACCGTTACTTGTTAGCTGTCTTGTCAGTATCAGATTTTCCTCAGTTGTGGTAAAGTGTCTTCTGGACTAGTTTAAGTATTTTACAGAAAGCTTATTTTAGTTCTCTGTCGCTTACCTTTATGTTTTGAATAATCTCTCCCTCGGAATGGCTCTGGCATTCTGGTTAAGTCTTGTTTTCATAATTTCTTTTGGACAACGACTTGATATTGCTAGCCTTCAGTCACAGCTCTGCTCAGGGTTTCAGGATTTTTATACTGTTCTCTCCCTTAGTAGAATCAAATTTTCACTGCCCCCTCTTTGCCAAGGCAAAAGCCAAGGTCTCTTTCAAGACATGATTTCCTTCTAAGACTCATGGGCTAATAACCACAGGCTTCCTGTGTTATCTTATCTGAGAAGATTGGATTAATAAATCAAAGCATTCTTTCACCTGAGTTGTACAGACCACTACAAGGTTACTCCTAACTCATGATGTATTTTAAGCTTAAATCCAGCCCTAATCAATTACATAAGACTCTTCCAACAGATATTCAAAGGAAACTTTCCAGTACATAGACTGACACAGCTTTTATACTCTCACCGTTTGAGGTTCGTGACAATCACAAACAGAACCCTAAGAAATTGCCTGTCCTATCTGGTATATAGAAGATAGTAAACCCATGTTTAACTGAGGAATTCATTACTTTAATAAATTACATGAGTGAAATTCTGATCTTCATACTATTGAAAACATTGTCTGTGCTTTAACTGTTGTAATTATATTTGCTTTTTAAATAAAAATGTTATGATTGGGATGTTACAAAAGACTTGGATTCAGTTGAGAGAGTACCATCATGAGATAATCTTAAATTATTATGACTTTTAACATTATGCATCTATAATATGGTTATTTTATTTATAATATGGTTATTTTAAAGTACCTTCTTTAAAATGTGGATTATAACTATATAGGTAGAAATCAGCCATCTTAAAGCAAGACAGATTGCACTACAGGACCAGTTGCTGAAGCTGCAGTCAGCTGCTCAGTCAGTAAATTCAGGAGTTGGTGGTGTGCCAACAACCACTGCATCATCTTCATTCAGTTACGGTGTCAGTCATCATGCTTCAGCTTTCCACGACGATGACATGGACTTTGGTGACATAATTTCTTCACAACAAGAAATAAACAGATTGTCAAATGAAGTTTCAAGACTTGAATCTGAAGTTGGCCATTGGAGGCATATTGCTCAAGTAGGTAAAATTTTAATGAGTTTTTGAAAACTATGGTGAAAATACTGGTGCTGTGTATAGATCTTTTGGTATCAGAGAGAACCCAGGACTAGGAAATTGAAACCTGTATTCTAATTCTGCCAGTAAGTTTCTAAGTGATCTTAGTCAGGTCATCGTTCTCTCTCAGCCTGTTTCCCCTTCTGTACAATGTATGGAAGAAATTTTCAAAGAAATTTAAAGCAACAGAACCATGTTTTAAAATAAAATAGAAAGTTTCTAGCCCAGGGCTTAAAAGAGATAAAAATGAAATTGCTATGGCTGAACCGGCACCTTTTCCCTGGCGTTCCTGAGGCTTCACTGCTGGATGTCGTCTGAGGTTCCTGTTCGCATTAGTTATAAGTAAAATGAAAATCTAGTAATTGGTATTATAATTTGTTAAACTATTTTGTGGTGTTTCTTGGGCACTAGAAATTAAATCCTTGCTTTTTTGCGCCTCTAAACTTTCTTCCAAGGAATGCTTTTTTGTCTTACATGTATCAGATTTTATATAAACTACTAAGGTTGTTGATAGACATGAGACCCAAATTAAACTGGAACCTTATTCATGTAGATTTAATTTCACCAATGTAGAGAAAAATAAAATATATAAGTAAAGTGGTTATTTTCTATTTTTTGTGTGTGTGTAATCTAATTGTGTAAAGGAGAAATCCCAATTAAAATGATCTCCTTGCTTCCCAAGTTGTAGACATTCCTAATAACCAAAATAAAGCTAGAGAGAATGATCTATTTGACCATCTCACCTCTAAAAAGTAGTAGTTCTTAAATTTTGTGTGTGTTCAAGCATAACCTGGAGAACTTGACCTGCTGTGGAATCCATGTCCTCCCTTGAGATATTAGGATTTGGTCATCTGCTTTTGGGTGTTGGAAGCTCTATAGCTTTCAAGCAAAGACGCCAGGTGGTTCTCATAATACGAGGAATACATTTTAGGAAACATTGCTTAGGGCAAGATTTCACAGGAAAGAGAGAGATTTTTGGTATGTTTACTTCAGCAAATCTTAAATGCCTACTATATGACAGACCTATACTGGGATATAAAGGTGAAAAAAGCATAATTGGGACCTTTCAAGGAACTTATCTAGCAAGACATAATAAAAGTTAATGTTTATATTTGTATTATATTTTACAAGATGTTTCCATATATACTACCCCAATATATACTACATTATCCTTAATAACTATGTGAGATATTTATTCTGTTTTGCAGATGAGCAAAAGTAAAAGTTTGTAGGTAATACAGCCGTTGTCATAGTAAGTTGTGATTCAGATATCTTTTGATTCCAAATCCTGTGTTCTTTTCATTATACTGTGTTCCTTTCATCCAGAGAGTAGCTTTCAGTTCCTTAACACTATAGTAAATGATAGGAAAGGTAAATGAACAACATACAACTTTAAATGAGTAGAGAAGAATCCCAAAGTTCTTTTATTTACTTGTCAAACCAAAAGTTAGTCTATATTGGGGTAGAAACCTGGGTAAAATCATTTTAAGAAGATTTTTACAGTTATTATTAGCTTTAATATTTGGTAACTTTTCATTTTAGAAATTATCTTTTAGGAAGCTGCTTGATTATCATCAAATTTACATTTTGTTAAGTAAGTAAAATATACTCTGGTATTTTTCTTATTTTGTAAAAATGTTGTCTCCCTAATTAGTTAACATACTTTGAATGGTATCTTTTATTTATTGTGTGTTATTTACTATTGGACTACATTCCTTAAAAGTGCTTGACATTCTTTAATCAGAATTTGTCTGGGAAATGCCCCTTTTTTGAAAAGTATCTTTTAATAAAGTCAGTCTGCAGCTTTCTCTTTTATAAGAAAATGTAATTCTCTAATTCTGTTTTTCTGATCTAGACTTCTAAAGCACAGGGATCAGATAGCTCTGATCAAAGGGAAATCTGCAAACTACAAAATATCATTAAGGTAAGGCAGATTGCTGAAACAATGGTGATTATACATTTAAATTTGCCTTATAAAAATTATAAGCCTAAATTAATAAAAGGCTCAGTTGTAAAAATAATTAGATTATGATACTCATTTTTTACTGTTTTGTATCTTCTTTATTTTTTATGACGAGTACACTATGTAAAAATATTCCTTTGCAAAATCATTTGTTTTTGAACATATGTTTATTACATAGTTTATGTTTTGTAAGTGTCTGTTTTCCAGTGTTATCTCATAAAATGGTCTTTATTAAAAGAGAATTCCAAGGTTGCTGAAATTTCAAGGTTTAGGGTTAAAGGATATTGACAAAAGTAACATGCTAATATTACTTACTATAAATAATTTTTTCTTAAGAATGGTAATTTGCTAGTTTGTGTCAATTATTTCCTTCAAGAAAAGTCTTAATTACATATACTTATCATGTAAGGAATTGTTTTTAGTTTGTAAATTATTGTCAGATATAGAACTTTTAGTTTTGGGTTTTGTTATTATTACACAGTACTGGTATGGGTGGGTTCCTGACTCTGTGTGTGGATCCTGGCTCTGCTATTTATTTACAAGGTGTGTTACTTTGGGCAATTTACTTAACCTTTACAAACTTCTGTTTTTTCATCAGTAAGGTAGATATCATTATAATACCTCCTTTGTAGGATTGTTTTGTAGTTTAAATGTAAAGTTCCTTGCCAAGTATTGCCACATAAGTGTATAGGATTAAAGAATAACTTCACTTGTGTTCTCATGAACTAAAAGCTAATTTATAGATTAAGATTCTTGGTCACAAGCAACAAAAACCACCTCTGGCTAGGCGAAGCAAAGGATTTACTGGAAGGATCAAGGGTAGTTTGTTCACAGGATTGAAGGAGGAGTTGAGCATTTTGGCCTCAGCTAAGACAGGAATGGGAACATCATCAGGAACCCAAGTATCAGGACACAGGGGACAGACTCTTCAGGGTGCAGCTTTCATAATGCTGCTGGTCCAACCAATGTCCCCAACTCAGCTCAAGACCTACCTTCCTAGAAGAGAGATGGGTGGTCTCAACTTGGGGATCAAGGTAGCTTGATTGACAGTTGGGGAGTCCCATCAAGGCTGTTGGAAGGAAGGACGGAGGGAGAGGACAGGGTAATGGGACAGCAGATACTGATTGGCCAGAAGGTTGACACTGATGTTGGTGGAATATGTCTAAGGAAAAGAGATATTTTTGCTAACTTCTTTTTGTTTTTTCTTGGTGGTGGTCCCTTATTAAAAGTAGAAAAATTGTTTTTAAGTCCCAAGAAAGGAAAGGGTAGAGTCTCAGAATTATCCAAATTTTGGGCCCGTGTTTAAATTCTTTTCAGCCTTAGCATGTTCAGAGAATTACTTTTAATAATACAGACTTTTGGGCAACAATGAAATAGCTTAGATAAATTCATTGATTATAAATACGGTTAACTTTGTTTTCATTTTTTAAGGAACTTAAACAGAACCGAAGTCAGGAAATTGATAATCATCAACATGAAATGTCAGTGTTGCAGAATGCACACCAACAGAAATTGACAGAAATAACTCGTCGGCATCGAGAAGAATTAAGTGACTATGAAGAACGAATTGAAGAACTGGAAAATCTGTTACAACAAGGTTATTAATTTCATTAATGTAACATATTAGGTGACATAATTAAATGACAAACATAGCACTGTAAGATCAGGACACTGATGTAAACGTGGGCAAAGTTCTAAAAAATGGGTAAATGACTAGTTCTGCTAATCTGCCAGAAGTTTGCACTGGGGCCGCTACGGTCAAGATTCCGCAAAAACGGAAAGGTCCTTTTGCTTTTGTAATAAATGGTTATAATACAGAGACCTTTTTTTTGAATCGTTAGGTATATTTTCACTTTCTTTCAAACTCAAAGACATGAGCTTTTTAGTATTTGATTCAAATCATAGCTTTCCTTGATTATTTATTTTAAAATGCTTTGTCTATTGTAGTAATTTAACTTTTTTTTAAAGTTAAATTTTTTAGAGCACTTTTAGGTTTATAACAAAATTGAGAAGGAGGTACAGAGATTTCCCTTATACCCTCTGCCCTCCCTGCTACACTGACTCATCATTGTCACCCAAAATCCATAGGCTTCGCTCTTGGTGTTGTGCATTCAGTGGATTCGGACAAATGTGTAATGACACATTTCTATCACTATGTTATACAGAGTATTTTCACGGCCTTGAAAGTCCTCTGTGCTCTGCCTGTTCATCCCCCTCATTACCTCCTGCAAACACTCATCTTTTTATTGCCACCATAGTTTTGCCTTTTCCAGAATTGTCATTATGGTTTGAATCATACAGTATGTAGCCTTTTCAGATTGGCTTCTTTCACTCATTCATATGCATTTAAGTTTCCTCCATATCTTTTCATGGCTTAATAGCTCATTTCTTTTTAGCACTGAGTAAATTCCATTGTCTGGATATAGTACAGTTTATTAATGCATTCACCTACTGAAGTACATTTTGATTGCTTCCAAATTTTGGCAATTATGAGTAAGGCTGCTATAAACATCTGTGTTTGGGTTTTTCTGTGGATATAACTTTTTAGCTCTTTTGAGTAAATACCAAGGAGTATGATTGCTAGATTGTATGGTAAGAGTATGTGTAGTTTGGGAAGAAATCACTCATCTGTCTTCCAAAATGGCTCCACCGTTCTGCGTTCCCACCAGCAACAAGTGGGAGTTCCTGCTGCTCCACATCCTCACCAGCATTTACTGTTATCAGTGATCTGGATTTGGGCCTTTCTATTAGGACTTTTGTGTTATCTTGTTTTTAACTTTTCTTTTTAGACCTTTTAAGTTCTGAAGCCTATGAAATCTCTTAGTTGTGTGTAGATAACTTTTGATACTTGATATTTATTGTCCTTGATTTTATGTTTACATTTTAGGTGGCTCAGGAATTGCAGTAACTGATCATTCTAAAATCCATGAGATGCAAAAAACTATTGAGAGTCTACAAACTGAAAAAATAGAGTCTACAAAAAAAATTGAAGAACTTGAGGATAAAATAAAAGACATAAGTAAAAAATTATCCTCTGCAGAAAATGACAGAGATGTTTTGAGGAAGGAACAGGAACGAGTAAATGTAGAAAACAGGCAAATAATTAAAGAATGTGAAAGCTTGAAACTGGAATGTACCAAATTGCAAAGTGACACTGTGACAGAAAAGGAAAGAATTCATCCACAGAGTACATCAGTAGAAGAAGAAGTGTTCAGACTACAACAAGCACTGTCTGGTATAAAATGTTTGGAACTTATTTCTGATTGGTGTTTCATTGCATACTATTCGTTTTTAGAGACAACTAGAACTTTGCGGAAATGGAATATTCATGGAAATGGCTATGTGGAATTTGAATAGAATTATTGGTTTATGTTCAGTGCTATAATAGATCACACATGGGTATTTCCTTCTAAAAAGTATTAAGTGTTTTCTGGGTGTCTCTCAACATCCTTTTCTCATCCTTTAAGTATTTACATGGAACTCATTGATTTAGGAGGCCATGTTTATTTCTGAGAAATGTTTATATAGATAGACATTTGTTGGAAGAGAAATGGGTCTATTTCTGTTAATCTATACAGAACCAAATATTTTCTATAACTCAGTAGGGCCCAGATACTCCAATGGAGGAATGCAGCCTACTTTTTTCAAAATTCTCTGTTACTCTTTGAAATGACCCCCTGTATCTAGCAGTCCTGAGAATGATAAGAGCCATAAGTCTTCCACCGTTTTCATGCTCGAGATGATATTTAATTCCCAGAGCAGTATTCTGTGTTATAAAACTTAAGTGTGAAATGAAATAGGCCAACAACAGTATTCATTCCTGCCAGGAAAACATAATGGGAGCTCATAACTGAAAAGATGCATTTTATTTTGCACTCTGTCCTCTTCTCACAATATAAACTCTCACTTTATGAACTCACTCATTCTTGCTCTGGAGGTTTCTAGCCCTTGTGTGCTTGTGAGACCTGTCTCCCTTCCCCCACCCCTCCCCCACCCCCAATCTTTATTCTTTGCCTAGGTGTTTATCATGAGTTCCTGGCCCGAATGGCCAACTCTATAAATTCAAATTCAGGTTACGTTCAAAGTAAAGTTACCATATCCTCCTCTCTCTTCCTTTCCCTAGCTTGGTAATTGGTAGCATTTACCAGTCTCCCAAAGCAGAATTTGAAGTCATTACCTAGCAAGTTTTATAGGTTCTCTTTCCCCAGCTCCTCTCTGGTTCAGGGACATTTCAGTATTGTTCTTGATAGAGGCTCGAGGGTTTCTCATGGTTTCTCATAGGTGCCTCAGCCCTGGGAGCTGCCGTGAACGCAGAGGGAAGGCTGTGCCGTTGGCGTACTGGGCTTCTTTCCTGTTTGACTTCAAAGCAGCTCTGCTTTTTTCATAATAAATGTATTTATTCAATGTACTGGGTGATTGCTATGAGTTTATTTGCTTTAAAAACAAATCTGCTGCTTAGGTCTTCCCCTTTTTTTATTTACACTGCCACTGAATAACTTCAGCCAGTCATCATTTCTGTTTGGTTGACTATCATAGTCTTTTGAGTGGAGTAGAATAACATCATGGGTAAGAACATGACAGGGTTGGAATCCAGCTCCATCACTAACTAGCTGACCTTGGGCAGGTTAATTAACATCACTGTGCTTAGGTTTTTGTCATCTATATGGCTGGGGTAATATCTTCTTCATAGCTGTAGTAATGAGGGTTTTTTATGTTACCAGCTGCAAAGTTCTCTCTAGAACCGTGTCTAGCCCCCAATAAGCATTATAAAAGTGTTAGCTATTGTTATTCTCTGGTCTCCATGATCCCTTCTTCAAACAATTTTTTTCTTTCTGCAGCCAGAATGATTTTTGAGAAATGCAAAGCAGGTTACTCTCCTGATTTTAGTACTTTGTGGCTTCTTATGAACTTCAGGATAAAGTTTGAACTTCTTAGACATATAATGTCTGTCATGATGTGGTCCCTGACTCCCTCTTCAGTTTCAACTCTTCCTAGTTTCCTAATATTCTAAGCTGTAGCTATTTTGAACTTTTCTATATAGCTGCTTAAGCCATTGGTGTTGTCTCAGCTCTCTGGCCTTTGCGTTTGCTGCTTTCTCTGTGTGGAGTGCCTCTTTTTCTTTCCACCGACTCTTGTTCATATATTAAGATTCAGCACAGGTGTCACATCCCCTGGAAGGTACCTAACGTGGCTTCCCTGGCCCCACTCACCACCTCCCACCCCACCACATCTGGATTAAGCATTTGCCCTTTTTGGTCTAGTAAAGCAGAGGCTAAATTTTTCCTTCTTGTCTAGCAACTGACCTCGTAGTATACGTTCACTATTTCCTGAATGAACAAAGAATGAATTACTTCAGCTGAACTTGTGGAATTCTTTGTGTCTTTCTTCTAGAACCTCTTCTATTTATTGATCTATCCAGAATACCATATTGAATGGTCTTTTATTAGTACTCATGCCTAAGGCACTTCAGATAATTGATAGATTATTTTATTTTTGTGGTACAAATATACATTCGTGGTTTTTTAAAAATTTTTTCCTCCAATTTTAGTCCTTACACTATTTCCTGCTACACAAACAAATCAACTCATTTTGAAATAGTTGTTAATGTTTTTATGAAGGCAGTAACTTATGACTCACTCAGAATACAATTATAATTCTTATACTGTTCCATAGAATTGGATTTTAACATAATTTCTAACTATATTATGATTTCTTTGGTATAGTCAAAATAGAAATACAGAAATAAAAATAACATTTCACCTAAGAACTGTAGGGCTTGCTAATCGTGCTTAGAAATATGCTTTATTTTCATTGCATTTCACTTCTGACATTAATTTTAGGAGGTAATTATTAAGGTATTTTAAAGAATTTTAATGTCAGATCCATTGTTTTTACAGATGCCGAAAATGAAATAATGAGACTGAGTAATTTAAACCAGGTAAACTCAAGAGAGAAAGCTTTTGGCATTGGTTTACCAAGAAAGTATTTTGATTATTATAGTTGCTTATTAGTAATTTTATGTTTACTTATTAATATCAGAAACTTTTGCATCATACATTGACAATTTTAAAAGTTGCATAATTGAAAAATGCAAGTATACATACCTCTTTGAAGATTAATTTGACAAATGTTCCGTATGTAGAGACAGTGGAAGAAGATCTCCCCAAAGTGAGGGATGCATTTCGATTTCTCTTTATGATATTCAGAGAGTTATTTCTCTTTCTGATGATTACAGGTTATTTTGTATTTATAAGTATATATTTTTTCAAATATAATAAAGAAATCCTCTTTATGAATGTCTATAAAATGAGTGACTGGCTTTAGATGGCCCAGTGTTGCATGCTTATAATTTTTATATACCACTAAAGAAATGCTGAGTAGAAATGCACAACTGTATAGCTTGCCTGCTTTTTTGTAAACGTGAAATTTTCTGTTATCTGAATACACACTGTTTTTAACATGTTTGTAGGATAACAATCTCGCTGAAGACAATCTGAAACTTAAAATGCATGTCCAAGGTTTAGAAAAAGAAAATTCCTTATTGAGTCAAGAAAAGGTGGGTGCGATAAAAATGCGGGCAAAATTAAGATGGTGTATTATATATAGATCACAGCTGAGGGCTAGTTCATATAGTGAGTGTTTAGTTCTTGAGAGTCTTGAGGATAAAGCTGGTCTTATTGATGTCTGTCAGGCCAGGTTGAAGTACTTAGGCAAGGTGCAGAGAGGCCGAGCAGAATGTGCATTTAGAAGTGAGCCTGTAGGCATACAGATATGAGCAGAAAAGGTAGATTAAGGCTCTGTTTTGGTTTCAGATGAAGTCCTGACAGCAGCAGCCTACACTGGTGGGTGGGGAATCTGGAGTGGTGTCCTGTTGTGACTGTACTTATTGCTTCTATGCCCCAGAATGTATCTAGAGTGGCAGACAGGAATTTCTTAGTGATAAAAGGTAAAGAGGGACATTCTCAGTGGTAGAAATAGGCTTTCTTGTGTATATTGGTAGCAGGGGTGGAATAAGATTTTATAATGCAATGTTAGGTATGGGGAGAGGTATTTTTATTTTCGTACCACTTGGGGATAATTCCTTGGCTAAGGCAGGAGTTTAAATATAGGATAGTTGTAAGCTGATATTATTACAGGCCAGTGTCTCAGTTTAAAATCGTAGTTTTTAAAAAAATAACATATATTTACTTATGTACATAATCAGTAATATATACTGAAAAACTTCAGGCTGTACGGATGTAATGTCCTTCACACCTCTGTTGGTTGGCATTTCCCCAGAGGCTTTGTTTCCTACCAGTTTCTTGTATGTACTTCCAGATTCTATCCATGCATGTATGATTATATATATAAACAGCTTTAAAAAATAGAAATATTAACATACTATGCATACTTCAACATTATATTTTTGACATCCTTTTCTATTAGCATATAGGCAGTGTTTCTCAAAGGGGAGCTGTTGGTATTGCGATGGTAAAATTCTTACTTGTGTACACTGCCCTATGCATTGTAGGATCCTGGCCCCAACTCTTGCCACTCACTAAATGCCAGTAGTTTCTCCCAGTCATTTCTTATTACTATAGTATATACATTTCCTTTGTTCTCTTCTGCTTCCATTAGATTCTGCTCTTTTCAGTTATTTCTTTCTGTAACTAGCTAGGGATATTTTGTAGTTTGCAGATCTCTACACATATCTGATAAGGTCTGTAACTTTTTCATGGTATTTTTGGATTCTGTAACTATTCTTGATAGCCGTTTCTCCTTTCTTTTGATGTTAAGTAATCCATTGTAACTCTTCTTTGAATCATGTCTGCTATGGGTCTGCTCACTGGTGAAGAATGCCAAAAGTGCCTGCAAGGCCATATGATGTATTACTAAGATCTACCTGAAAAAAAATTGTGATCGTCTTAATTGTACCGATAACTCTAGAAAGACATAAGATGATACTATTCCCATCTTTCAGTTGTATTTCAAAATAAACTTTTCAATTGGAAGAAGAATGAGAATTTTGAGGCTGATATTCTAATATAGTTTTCATTAGTCTCTTTTGTAAGATATGTATTAGACTACTTGTGGAAATTTGAGATTCTTATTCACTTTAAAGTAGACTCAGTAGAATTTTGATTTTTAAAAATATCAATGAGAGAAGGTTTTACAGCAATATTGAGTTTATCTTCTGGGATTTTGTAGGAAAAGCATTAATTACTTAAAAAACAACATAAAATGTACTTTAAAAATGACATAAATATATCTTTAGGAATGTTAGGTTTGATAAAGGAAAACCTAGTATGTGCTCAGCTTAGGAGCCAAAGGAAGGAGGGTACTTTCTTGGGTGAAGAAGAGATTTTATGTCCTGACAGAAGCCAATAACATGAAAAATTTCTTGAATGAGGGAAAAGAAGCCTTTTATATGCTCATTAGAGAGGACAAACTTCAGATTGAATTAGTGTTGATTTTTTTACACTTTTGTCTATGGCTGTTGGTAACTAGATGTTAGGGAGTGGAAGTAAAGGGATCCGTTAGACTTGGGACATTTAAAAAAGTATGTGTGCGGTGAAAGGGGAGGAAAAGGAGAAGCAGCAGTAGGGGTGGGATCAGGAAGTCTCCACACGGGAAAGGGAAAGTTTTGTGTGACGAAGTTGGAGCTAGAAGACAAACTCAGGTTTTTGCGCCATGTCTAGGGTTATAGAAGTACTTTGTATATGAATGAAGGCTGTGGTTTGTTGAATTTTGTATGCCATTGCTGAGGTATTATGCAATAATGTTTCCAGCTCGGAACATTTAAAATAGAATCCCAAGTTTTGTGTGTGTGTGTATATATATATATGTATATTTTTTAATCTTTTGGTGTCTCTTCTTGCAATTATACTATGTGTTGTTTTTTTTCCCCTTTTATCATTCAAGGAAGAACTTGAGAAATCACTTTTAAAATTGAACAATGAATATGAAATAGTTAAAACTATAGCTACAAGAGACATGGATTTGGATTTAGAATTACAAGATTTAAGACTTAATTTGGAGGCAAAGGAACAAGAACTCAATCAGCGTATCACTGAAAAGGAAGAACTGATAGCCGAGTTAGAAGAACTGGATAAACAGAACCAAGAAGCTACAAAGGTAACAAATACTATATTACAGACAGTGTGGCAGCACGTTCCACTCAGTAGACTGAACACCAGATTAACAAACAACGGGGATTGTTGTGATTTAATTTTGTGTTTTCATTAATATTTTAGTTCATTGGTGTTCTAGTCCTAGAAGTTGGCAAACATTTACTGTAAAGCATTAGGTAGTAAATATTCTTGGCTTTGCAGACCGTATTGTCTCAGTTGCAACCACTCAATCAACTCTGTTGTCATGATATGTAAACAATTGAGTGCAGCTCTGTTCCAATAAAGCTTTACTTACAGAAACAGGCAGCAGGCCTGATCTGCCCCATTAGCTGTAGTTTTTTTGACTCCTGCCCAGTGTTTAAGAGTTGTAAAAAAACAACATATATCATTTACTTTCTTTAGTTTTAAATTCTCATCTCTGAAATGATAAAATAGGTTTGCTATAAAATATTAATAAATAATTTTGGGATTTTTTTAAAAGTTGTTTTAAGAAGGATTAGAAATATTGGAGGATTATGATGCATGACATTTTATAAAATTTTCTATTGGTACTAAGATAAGAGAATGTTTTAAAGTCACCATGCAAATTAATTTTTCTTTCAGCACATGATTTTGATAAAAGATCAGCTATCAAAACAACAAAATGAGGGAGATGGCATCATCAGTAAACTGAAAAAAGATCTAAATGATGAAAAAAAGAGAGTCCATGAACTCGAAGACGATAAAATGAACATTACTAAAGAGTTAGACATGCAGAAAGAAAAGTTAATTCAAAGTGAACTGTTCCTAAATGACTTGCATTTAACCAAGCAGAAGCTGGAGAATAAAGTAGAAGATTTAGTAGATCAACTAAATAAGTCACAAAACAATAATTTAAACATCCAGAAGGAGAACTTCGAACTTAAGGAACACATTAAACGAAATGAGGAGGAGCTTTCTGGAGTCAGGGATGAGTTAACTCAGGTTCTTGGTCAGGACTCTAACAGTAATTTTAGGGATGATTTACTTAAAGAAAGGGAAGCCGAAGTGGGAAGCTTAAAGCAGAATCTTTCAGAAATAGAACAGCTCAATGAAAATTTAAAGAAAGTTGCTTTTGATCTCAAAATGGAAAATGAAAAGTTGGTTTTAGCATGTGAAGATGTCAGACATCAGTTGCAAGAATCTGTTGCTGGTAACAATCGGATTTCTCTGGAACAGAACACTATTGTGGAGGCTCTAAAAATGGAAAAAGGACAGTTGGAAGCAGAATTGTGTCAGGCTGAAAAGAGGCTTTTGGAAGAAGCAAAGAAGTATGAGCAGACCATTGAAGAACTGTCAAGTGCACAGAATTTGAGTGCCTCTGTTTTACAGTTGGAACATGAGCGTTTAATTAAACTCAATCAAGAGAAAGACTTGGAAATAGCACAACTCAAAAAGAATATTGAACAGATGGATATTGATCATAAAGAGACTAAGTCAATTTTGTCATCTAGTTTAGAAGAACGGAAGCATTTGACAGAACTTATAAATGAGAAAGAAATTTTTATTGAAAAACTTAAAGAGAGAAGTTCAGAGCTCCAGGAGGAATTAACTAAAAATACTCAGGCCTTAAGAAAAAATGAAAATTTGAAGCAAACCATAGAGGAAAAAGACAGACATCTCGCATCTATGAAAGAGGAAAACAATCATCTGAAAGAAGAACTGGAACGACTCAGGGAGCAGCAGAGTCGAGCTGCACCTGCGGCTGAGCCTAAAACCCTCGATTGTGTTACAGAACTAGCATCTGAGGTTTCTCAGCTGAATGTAATAAAGGATAAACTTGAAGAGGAAATAAAACATCACCAAAAGATCATTGAAGATCAAAACCAGAGTAAAATGCAACTACTTCAGTCTTTACAGGAGCAGAAGAAGGAAATGGATGAGTTTAAATACCAGCATGAGCAAATGAACGTCACACACACCCAACTCTTCTTAGAGAAAGATGAAGCAATTAAGACTTTGCAAAAAACAATCGAAGAAATCAAAACCCAGTTGCATGAAGAAAGGCAGGATGTTCAAACAGAGAATTCTGATATTTTTCAAGAAACAAAAGTCCAGAGCCTTAATATAGAAAATGGAAGTGAAAAGCATGACTTATCTAAAGCCGAAACTGAAAGATTAGTAAAAGGAATAAAAGAACGAGAATTGGAGATTAAACTTCTAAATGAAAAGAATATCTCTTTAACTAAACAGATTGATCAGTTGTCTAAAGATGAGGTTGGTAAACTAACTCAGATTATCCAGCAGAAAGATTTGGAGATACAGGCTCTTCACGCTAGAATTTCTTCAGCTTCCTACACCCAGGATGTTGTTTACCTTCAACAGCAGCTCCAGGCTTATGCTATGGAACAAGAAAAACTGTTAGCTGTTTTGAGTGAAAAGACCAGGGAAAATAGCCATCTCAAAACAGAATATCACAAGGTGATTGATATAGTTGCTGCCAAAGAAGCAGCCCTCAGTAAACTGCAAGATGAAAATAAAAAACTGTCCACTAAATTTGAAAGTAATCCCCAAGAAATGTTTAGAGAAACTGTTCAGAATTTATCGCGTATCATTCGAGAAAAAGACATTGAAATAGATGCACTAAGTCAAAAATGTCAGACCTTACTGACGGTTTTACAGACATCTGGCACTGGTAGTGACGTTGGAGGTGTTAACAGTAATCAGTTTGAGGAGCTTCTGCAGGAACGCGATAAATTAAAACAACAAGTAAAGAAAATGGAAGAGTGGAAACAGCAGGTGATGACCACAGTACAAAATATGCAGCACGAATCAGCCCAGCTTCAGGAAGAACTTCATCAACTTCAGGCACAAGTGTTGGTTGACAGTGACAATAATTCTAAGTTACAAGTGGACTATACTGGCCTGATCCAAAGTTATGAGCAGAATGAAACCAAACTCAAAAATTTTGGGCAGGAATTAGCACAGGTTCAGCACAGCATAGGGCAGCTTTGCAATACCAAAGATCTTCTTTTAGGAAAACTCGATATTATTTCGCCACAGCTCTCCTTTGGATCATTGCTTACTTCCCAGTCAGCAGAGTCTCTTAGAACGGTTAAGTCTGCTATATCGAGTGAGTCTTCTCAGCAAGAGCTAGAAGAGCTAAGAAAGTCACTGCAGGAGAAAGACGCAACAATTAGAACTCTCCAGGAAAATAATCACAGGTTGTCTAATTCAGTCGCTGCTACCTCAGAGCTAGAAAGAAAAGAACACGAACAAATGGATTCAGAAATTAAGCAACTAAAGGAGAAACACGATGTTTTACAAAAGTCTCTTAGAGATAAAGATCTCTTAATCAAAGCCAAAAGTGATCAGTTACTTTCTTTAGATGAAAATTTCACAAACAAGGTGAATGAAAATGAACTTTTGAGACAGGCAGTAACAAACCTGAAGGAGAGAATAGTAATTTTAGAAATGGACATTCGTGAACTAAAAGAGGAAAATGAAAAAATAGTAGAAACAACCAGGGAAAAGGAAACAGAATATCAAGCATTACAAGAGACTAATACAAAGTTTTCTGTGATGCTGCGAGAAAAGGAGTTTGAGTGCCTTTCAGTGAAGGAGAAGTCTCTTGCCTTTGAGCAGCTGCTGAAAGAAAAAGAGCAGGTACGTGCTGGACGGGGTGTTACATACAGAGGGAAGTCGGAGTGGAGGAAACTTTTTAGTGCGTTAACTTTATCGATGTCATCTTTGAAGGGGAATATGTTTGTTCATTTAGAAATGCTTATTTTAAGGTATTCTGATTCCTTCCAAGTAAATGTTCTTTAGAGGCATCTGGAAGTTTCTCCCCCAAATTACTAGATAGTTCCAAATATTTTTAGTATGAGATTAATTTTTTATAGGCTGGTAAATAGAAAAAGTTTAGTAGCAATTAATATTTTTCTTTAGAAAATAGAAATGTGTTACAAGAGGGAATTTTGGAGTCAATGCAATTTAAATTTTAGGCATATTTCAGTAGCTGCTGGGAATGGTTGACATTTTAGAGGTTCTTATATATAATATGGAACTCTGAAATATGCTACATCTTTGACGATGATCTACAGTAAGAAATATATTTATTTTGTGACACAGTAAGCACGTGTGTAAAACTGAAAAGTTTCAGGAATCAGAAATTCCCTTAATACATGTGATATTCTATTTTAAAAAACAAAGTGCTGGATGACCCATTAAATTGGTTTTTTATGAATCAATCACCACTTGTTATCTGAAAAGGGCTAACCACAAGTAGTGCTTTCACACAGTAGGCTTAGTAAATGTTCTGTTCTCAGCTCTGTCACTGGTGTGACTCTGGGTGTGTTTTAACCATACTGGTTGGTTTGTTCAGTCATCAAATGGAGGATTGTAGCAGTTATATATGTAAAATATCAGTAGTTTATGATATATTTAAATTTTTACATGCAATTGATTTTAATAACGTTTTGAAGACCTAGTATATCATACTGTGATAGGGCTGTTTTGATAGTGCTTTATTAGTCTGATTTCTATGCTTTCAGTAGTAGAAGTTCGGAAGAGAAATGAGAATAGTCAGCAAGTGCTTCCTGAGCATTTATGTGCTGCCAGGAACAACATACAAAATGATTTCACTTCTTTTGCCAATTAAATTCTCTTGGAGTCTTGAATTAAAGTTTGAGAATACTTGATGTAGTTTCCACTCCGTAAGAAAAGTCTTACCTCATCTCTCCTTCTTTACCATCTGATTATGTAGGCACACTGATAGTGTCACGGTGTCCTCCTCCCTCACATACAGCTTCTTAGCTTCTTGTGGTGCTGGTCTGTACTCGGTACGAAGAAGACTCTTAATGAGAAGAAGCTTTCTATTGCTCACGAACCGAAATTAGGTGTAGTGTCTTAAGGCTGTAAGATTACAATAGAGGAAAGTAGAACAGTGAAGTATTCTTTTTCAATATATATTTTCCTTTTGTAGTTGTAGCATCTCGTAGAGCTTAGTTCTATTTCATTGACATTTATAGATCTGAAGTGCAGATTTAATTAAGATTTACCTGCTTTTCAGGAAGCTCCTAAAGTTAAGTCGTACTTGAGGGTCATTAGCATAAACTAATTTCTTCCAATACGCTATATAAATTGAAGGATACCTTTATTGTTGTATGTTGAATATAATAAATAACATCTCTCTTTTTAGAGAGTAAGAGATGTTCTCAACAAGAGATCTTCAACTTTATTTAATTTTTCAAGCATTTGTTCTTTCTCTGTAATATGAAAAAAAAATGTTTTCACTGAATGTCTACTTGGAAGATACTGGCCTCACTATCCAGGAGGGTGTGTTTAGAATTTGAGCTAGTATCTTAAATTCATGGCTCAATTTTTGCAACGAAGCGTTATCTTTTTGATTCTGCCTTTAATATATTGTACTTGTATGGAATGCATTCAGGAATAAATTTTCACAACCATCTAGCAAGATGCCCTTCCAGACTTGCCTTCGTTTGTGAAATTGTTGCCAAAATGTTCTTTTAAAATAGACTGCGCATATGAAATGACTTCCCCTTGCTCCTCTGCTAGCATCTTGACACTGTTACTCTCTCTAACAGCAGTTGTGTATGCCTGACACATACATACCTACAAGGGGACACACACACACACACACACACTCTTTTTTGAGTGATTTGGGAGTTTGTGAACACTTTGTTTAGGGTAAATTTGAAGAGATTGTGTCTTTTGAGTTCTTTTTAGAACATTTCTAACAAACTTTTGTTTTTTGATTATTAGAAAAGTTCCAAAGATAGTAGGGTTCCCACATACCTCGCACCCAGTTTCCCTTATTTTTCATACCTGACATTACTGTGGTCCACTTGTAACAACTAATGAACCAATATTGATACATTATCATTAATTAAAGTTTATACTTTATTTGAATTTCCTTTATTTTTACCTTATGTCCTTTTCCTGTCCCAAGATGCTATTCAAGATAGCATATTATAGTCATCTTGGTCCTTAGGCTCCTTTAAATTGTGACAGTTTCTCAGACCTTACTTTTTTGATGTTCTTGACATGGTTAACTATATTTTAAAATTAATTGATGAAGAAATGTCTTTCTAAAATGTATTTTTCATTAAATCTAAAGTTATTTCTTTCCAAAAGGGCAAGGCTGGAGAGTTAAATCAGCTTTTAAATGCAGTTAAGTCACTGCAGGAGAAGACAGTTATGTTTCAAAAGGAGAGAGACCAAGTCATGTTGGCACTGAAACAGAAACAAATGGAAAACACTGCGGTGCAGAATGAGGTATGCTTTCACTCTAGAGAAACAGTGATTCAGGCACCAAGTTGAATAATTATTAAGTAAGAAAACTGAAACCATTTAAAGTGAATTTCTTGGTTGATTTTTTTCTTAGTCTTTCCCTGATTTGCTATAGTAGGATTTTGATCTCCCAGAGTGTATTTTATTTCAGTTTTCAAAAGTGAAAACCAGGATTGAATCATCATGTTGTGTACCTGAAACCAAATTATACCTTAATCTTTTTTAATGAAAAAAAAAAAAAAAAGGTGAAAATCATGGCATATCTTGTATATAAGAAAAATTTCCTACTCATAAAATATAGAAGAAATTAGATTTCCTGAAAAAGTGGTCTGTCGCAAAAAGCCTCGTACTTTGTATAATTAATTCCATTGTCCGTTATAGCCACAAGGAATGAGATCTTACGTAAACCTTCCAAATGAATATTCAGGATGATTTCAGGAGACTTTTCCCAGCATAAACACATCTTGCAGTATGAGAAATTTGTACACAATTAAATACTTAAACAATAGGGAAAAATTTGATAACACGTGGCTTGTGGGATGGATGGCAGAGTCGGGGGGGCTGTGAATTTTGTAGAAGAAAAATAAAGAAATGTCCTCTATTTAGGTTCAACATTTACGTGACAAAGAGTTACGTTTAAACCAGGAGCTAGAGAGATTACGTAACCATCTTTTAGAAACAGAAGATTCTTATACTCGGGAAGCTTTGGCTGCAGAAGATAGAGAGGCTAAACTAAGAAAGAAAGTCACAGTATTGGAGGAAAAGCTAGTTTCATCCTCTGATGCGATGGAAAATGCAAGGTAATTTTCTCTTTCTTTTTTAGCATTAATATTAACCAAAACTTCTTGAATGTAAGACTCAATAAGTATTTTTCATATATTACCTCATTTTATTCACAAAAGTTAATATCTCCATTTTACAGATGAAGAAAGTTAGGGTAAAGAGGTTTGGTAGTGACCTTCCCGAGATCAGGCACACACACTGTGTGTGGGTTTCATACTCAGGTCCATAACTCTTAACCAGATCTGGCATTCAAACTGAGATTTCTATGAATTGTAACCATTACTCTAATCGCCTCTCATCATTTTAGAAGTTTAGACTTAAATTCTGACTGATTTAATTAGCCGTTCAGGCTTCCAAATAATCTAATTTAATTTATGTGATTTTTTTTTTTTTTTTTTTTTAAATAAAATCCCCATATTTTA